TTTTATTATAATTTTTATAATTAAATTATATATTTACGAAATTATAAACATGATATTTATTATTATTATTGGATAAAAATTATATTATTTACTATATATATATATATATATATATATATATATATATAATCGAACACTTTATTAATTACGGTTTAACTATAGTTAATTTAATAATTTATAATTAAAATAATATTTGTACTGATTAATTGCCCGATCTAACATTAAAAATATATGAAATATTTCATTTCAAATGGTAAGAGTTTCTTGCAAACATGGGTAGGGTGTCCAAGTTCAATGCAACATTTATGTGCCACCGATCCAGCTAGGCAGCTACCACGTGTAATAAAAACCAATATCTAACATTTTTATAAATCTAAATTGTATCACAAGCATCTTATCAGCAGTGTGGAAATGATGATGATAATTATTATTATTATTATTATTATTGGAGATTTGAAAAGTTCGAATTTCCATGTTTGACACAGTATATGCTTGGCTAAACATACCTGAAATGCATATAATACGAGATGATAAAGATCAAATTGTGGCACTGATCCCAGATACCATATTATTAATGTATAAGTTTGAATGATTGATGCTGAAGGTCCACAAGTATATTCGCCAAGCATCTTTATCAACAGGATTGAGGAGATGCATTCCAGATCTTGAAAAAAAGAAAACCTGCAGATCTGAAACCCAAACACATCCATATTTCACACAATGTGTTTCTGCTTAGCATATTTGACAATCGTAATATATAAAATAAAAACCCATTATTGGCATTGCCAATTAGATTACCAGGTTTTAACTGGTCTTTCCACTAGTTGTTCTCATGATAATTACCCTAAAATATGTGATTCTAATGTAAAAACTATTGTTAATGATTTTATGACAAAATAATTGCATTAATTAGAAGAAAATAATTATTTCATGGCTTGCGAATTTTTACTTTGGTTTTATAGAGTATGCTTTCTTTCTTGAAACGAGAGATTTTCTTAGGCTGTGCTGCTGAGGCACAAAAACTAATCAACCTCTCAATAATATTTTTTTTTATACACAAATCAAAAATAAATTTATTTAGAGGGAGTTATATATGAGTAAAAAAAATTCATTAGCCTTAAATTTTAATTATAACACTAACACTGCTGTGTAAAATTAAAAGTTATTTTCGTTGAAAATATAATTTATAATAATTTTATCTTAGCCATTTCTGTCGATATCAGATCATGAACATGTCCACAATATACGAAATCTAAAATTACAATAACTTTCTCAACAAAATAATTATAGATAAACATAGTGTAAAATGAGATAAAGTAGTAGTATTTGCTTTCACAGAGATTTATAATAGTAGTTCATGATAGTATAAGAAGAAAACTTCATGTAAGGTTAAATTTAAAAGTTAAAACATTAGTTTTTAAATAACTAATAATTACAATTTCAAAGCCTAAATAAAATTATACACATATTTAAGGCGAAGCATTTAACTATGAAAATCAAAGCATATGATTTTGATGATTGGATACGCAACGCACCTTTCAGACATCTATCGCATTAAATGATACAGCACAGCACTGATCCATGTGTTTCAGAGGAAGTGGAGAATCGACAGCGTATTCAAATAATTGATTGAAAACATCAACATTATTAACGAAATTAACTGGCAGATGTAACCCAAGTCAAGTTTATCAGAAACCATTATGATGATGTGGCCAGATAAAGATAATATTAATAAAATATTTCGAAATTTAAACCGACATTTCCAAAGGACATACGATATTCTAATCAACTATTTAATTCTTAATTGCAAGATATATAAAAGTTTTAACGACACAATAATTGAATATTCCTTCTTATTTATATCAACTACATCTTATTTTGAGGGAAAAAAAAACACACTCTCTCTATTTTAATTTTAAGTATATTTTAAACAAATAATAATTTAATAATTTTTAGTATTATTAACCTCTCACGTTAACTACATATATGACCAAATGAAAACTTGTAAATGATAAATGATTATTACTTCATAAATTATATTTAAAAGTTGAGTTCGACTTCAACTTAAGTTTAAAAGGTATTATATACAACATTTTTAAATAGTTAACTAAACTATTTTAGTAAATGGAATGCGTTTAAGTATGTAATGTTAAATGTTTTAGCATTTGATCCCCAATTCTCAAGCAGTTGATTTTGCAGAATAGTAGCGAAATTTCAGCACGATACTGTGATGCCGATGGATATTGGCATTGATTTTGTCATGAACTTGTATCTTGTCTGGTCAAGACAAGGGTATATATGTACTGGTTTAAAGTTTGGAACGCTGCTCATAGGAAAACCACATGTTCATTGTCGTGGTTATGATTGTTTTGTTCTTTCTTGGATCTAGCAACACAATCACATGTTTGGGATATTTTTTTTAATAGTTCATGCAATAAACGTACCCACTTTATTTACATATATATTGAATATATTAATATAATAACTAGTAGGATTTTAAAGAGTAGCTGTAAAAGGTATGGTTGTTTATGATTTTGCATGTCGTCATGAAGAAAAACATTGTCAAGTTGAGCTGATAAACAATCTTTATATTCTTAAGTAACTTTCAACGAAATACAATAAAGAGAGCAAGCAATTTGTGTACGTACAATGAAGTATGCATGTGTTTGTTTTAGATTTTAATATATACAGTTGATTTTGAAAATTTTAATTTGAAAAGAATTAGTTTTTAGAAAGAAATTGAACCAATCTGTGTTTGATAATATTATTATAAAAGTAAGTAAAAAATTAATTTTGTTTAAATGCATCAAACTTGATCATTTTTTAATTATGAGCGTGTTTGTATGTAAATATGGTTGAAAGTGATTTTGAATATAACAATTATAACTTTAGGTTAGTAATATATTGTGGTGTTATCAACTATTTTTTATGAATTTATTTATCTTTTATAATAAATAAAAAAGTAAAAACTTTTGATTAAAAAAATGACGACCTAGTCTAGTCATTTAATTAATTAATTTATTTTAAAAAAGGCATCTTTTGTTTATCCGCTTGTCTGGTCCAAAATTTAAGAATGTGTTTAAATTTAATACATTTTTAATAAGTTTAATACAGAAAGAGAGAATTGAAAACAATTTTCAAGATTTGATTTTTAAGTGCATACAAGAATTATTGTCAAGTTCTGCCCATGCAATGATTTTTTTTTCTCTCATTTATTGTTGTTAATATTATTATTATTTTAACTTTTTCTCATTTGTTAGTTATTTTTATTTTTATTTATAACTTATAAATTAATTCTTTTATCGTAAACTTGTATTAAAATGTCTCACGTTAATTAAATTAAACATTTTTTTAAAATTTAAACAATGTTTTTTATTTTGTTGAGTTACATTATTAAGTGTGAATCAGATTAAGTCCATTTTTAATAGTCATTTTGAAAAAAGGATAATTTTTTTTTAAATATTAAAAAAATAAATTGGCATTTTCAAATTAAAATTAATCAACTTTCATTTACATTGTAAAGACTGTGTGACTTTAAATTTTTATTAGATATTATAAATGTCAGAGGTAAGTTTTTTTTTTTTTTGAAGTCATGTAAGAGGTAAGTTAATCAAGGTAAACTATAATTTTTCAGTATTTTACCTTTTGATTCGTCTGGTTATTGTTTAGTGGGGTGGACTAAATATGTTTAAGGCTATTATTTGATACAATTAATTTTGAGACAAATTACTATATAAGGAAAATGTATAGGGGGTGGTGGAGTTCATTTTCCATTATTTTTTTATGCATAATTAACTCTTAAATCAAATAGTTTTCACTAGAAATCCATTCTACAATTTCCTTTTTCCTAGAAATCTCATTAAGCTGCATCAACTGTACTTTAAATATATTTTAACCTCTATGAAAAAAATGAAAATCGTTCAAGAAGTTAAGTAACAAAAGAAATCATCTAAAAAATAGTAACTAACAAAAGAGACCGAAAAATAGAAACACAATAACGTTGGAAAATCAAGTGATAAAACTAAAGTTTAATTAACGAAACCTGAGAGATGAGAGAACATGGAAAAGAAAAAAGGTTTGGCCTTATTACTATTTATACTTATAGTAGAAAAACCGTTGGCATTATTTCTTTGTGTCCATTCAAAATTGTTAGTAATATACTTTCGGGTCCCCATGATAATTAAAATTTTATTAAAAATCAGTTGATATTGACACAAAAATAACAGGATATCAAAATTAACTAAAAACCTCAAAACTATAATTACTTAAAAATACATTTATCTATAAAATAATAGTAATATAAAATTTATATTAAATTGATCTTTTTTTAATTAGTTTAGCAAATAATTTCACCAAACATTTCTATTCAATAAATTAACTTATTAACAACTTTGAAGTAAAAATTAGTATTTCGGTTTTTACTTAATTATTTTTTTTGGAATCTTTAAGCTAATTTATTACCTTTTTCCTTTGCCAAATATACTCTTAAAATTAAGTAGGCATCAAGACATTATTGAAAAGATAATAACTACCATTATTTTGCCTATCTAAAAAGACAAAATAAACTACAATCAGAAAACCTTCTTCTGCTTATTTCCAAGACTTACATGAAAGTTGTAAGTCCCCTTATATATATCTAAAATAAATTGATTACTTGAAAGGCATGTTTATAAGTTAAGTCAATAGGTACTATTTAATATTCATTATCATCACTTATGACTACAAACAAAAAGAAGGGCCCATGCCAGCATGGACATTGGCAATTGGCGTCTATTATTACACAAAATGTACGGCTAAGATTTTGTTTGATGCCTGCACTGTCTTAGACAAAGTACAAATACACACACATAGCAATTAACTGCTAAAGCTTCCTTATGTTCTGTCGTCGTGAATGTTAACGTTTTTCAGTTCACACTTCACATAGAGATTCTGAGAGACCAACCATCATTGGATATGCAGAGAGAGAAATAGTGAAAGCAAAGTACGTAGCCAGCCACCTGTTTCTTTTCTCTGTGGAATCTATCCCTTGGTTTTATCTTTTCACTTATTTTGTTTCTTTGGAAATACTACAAATTTAAGGAAACAAAATACTAAGGAGGAAACTTAAAAAGTGCTATTGAATGACACCCTTTATGGTTCTATTGTGTGTGTGTGTGTGTGTGTGTGTGTGTTTTATTTACTTTTTTGTTTTTGTTTAGTTTTGCTTAACCAAAATGAAGAAAATGCATGCACAGTAGTAAAAGCAATACTTGGAGCTTAGCACATTTGAGTTTGAGTGTTTAAAAGGGTAGCTTCAAATCGATCTCATCCCACGTGTTTTTTTTTTTTTTTTTCAAAATGAAGAGTTAAGATTAGGATACCCATTAATCCAAACCCGGATTTTTTATGTTGCAATATTACCTTATATTTCTCCTTGATATTTTATTCTGTGATGTTCTTGTTGTCTTGTGTTGTATAATTTTGGGTCATTTTTGGTGAAGGTGAATTGTTGAAGAGATTGTGGAGTATCCTTGAATTATAGAGAGAATCCAGGATTTTTGAAGAGGTTGAAGGAAGATGAATAACTCTGTTTCAGACAACAGTTTTATTATTGAGAGTGATGAAGAAGATGAGGAGAAGGATTTGAACAAAGTTGGAGATGATGGTAACGATTCTGATTCTTCCAATTACTCAAACGAAAATCCACCACAGAGAAAACCCAGTTCTTACAACATCTCATGGCCTCAGAGTTACAGGTAAACCCCTTCTTCTTCCTCTGCTTCGATTCCACTGTTTTCTTATGATTGTGTTTGTGCGCGTGTAACTTCAGGTGTCCTTTTTTTTTTTTGTTCTGGAAGTGTCAAAAGGGAATCCTCTGATTTCTGGGGAAAAAATGGTTAATTGTGTCCCTTTCTTTTCTTCACTTTTTATCATGGTTCTTGAAAAGTCATTTTGCTTTTTAGAGGGTAAAAGTAAAATTTACTAAAGAAATGATTAAAAGAGATCATACAGTAAATAATAGCATCATGTGATCTATTTTGTTGTTATAAATTTTCAGCTTATGAAGAAAAGAGAATATGTAACTTTTTTGTGTTGACTGACAGAGTCAAGAAACCATGTCAAACAGTTGACAAATTTCCCTAACCATGTCATTGAATTACAACTTTTTTTTTTCACCATTTATATCTTTTGCTGAACAAAGGTCAGTGCGAATGAGTACTTATGACATTGTTATGATTGATGGTATTTCAGGCAATCTATTGATCTATACAGTAGTGTGCCATCACCAAATATTGGATTTTTGGGCACACCCTCATTGTCAAGATTGAGCAGTTCCTTTCTTTCTTCATCTCTAACAAGGAGGCACACTCCTGAAACACTTCCTTCAGTGACAAAGCCTCTTATACAAGCAACAGAAGATGAGCAGCAACAGAGGCGTAGCTCTCATACCTTGCTTCCTCCTCTTCCTTCTAGAAGGTCTTCTTTGATCAAGAAGGATACAAAGGTAGCTCATGAAGTTCCTTCTCGCCAGTGCTCTTTTGGACAGGCTGTGCTTAATGGTAAGTAGTTTAACTTTGAACCTTGGCTTGCTATACTGTTATATTGTCAGGTGTTCTATGGCACGAATGCTATTAGAAGGGGAAAAAATAATGTTAACCCATTTCTTGATTTTCTTCCGAGCGAATAAAAAGGACAGAAGTATTAGCAAAGGAGGAAATCATGATATGTGATTCTAAATTGTATACAGCTAAAGAAGAAATGCGTGTCTATAATTGAAATTTGAGACAATGCACAGCATGCATTGAAGAGAAAGCTAAGAAGCATGATAATACTCCAAAGAACAGTGTCTGAATGTGTTACATGGCAAAAGAAAAGAAATACAATGAAATCCTTAATTTGGTCTTCCAAAGTTATATGCGTAGTAAGTTGTCATATTATTTTTTTAGAAATTTAGTCACTAAATTAGTTGTTTTACATTTTTCTATCACTACTTTTACACTTCAAAAGATTTTCATTAGATTAATTTTTCAAAGATTTACTCTAGCTAAATTAATCTTTCTAAGATTTAAAATAGAGGACTAGAGTGGTGGAAAAAAAAACTCTGAAAAATTAAATTGGTAACAAAAGTAATTTGAAAGGGAATATTTTGTTGACAATAATTTGAAAGATTAACATGATACCTGCCCATCATTGACTTTGACGGAAATTTCATATTGAAGGTCAGATTTTCCCGTACATGTAAATGACAGGGTGAAGATGGGTTTTGGATATAGATAGCTGCTCCCAACATGGCTTGATCATATTTAAATTATAATAAAGTTGAAAGATTAACCTTGCATATTTGTAGTAATAATACAATTTGCTTCTCAAGTTCTTCGCTTTCTTAAGGTTATTAGCAACGTTTGATCTAAAATTACTCGATATATATTTCATTTGAAGGGGAAAAAACATGGGGTGGGACTTTTTCAATGAGAAATTATATTCTCGTACAAAAAATTATGCAATAAAGAGAGACGTGAAGAAAAGAAAGAGTGAGACAAAGGTAATTAAGGTGACAGTGAAAGATAAAGAGAAAAAAGTAGTGTTACAGTGTTGTATGAACAATACAACTTTTCTGGGTAAGTGATGATGGAGAGGGGTTGGATGCTCCCAACTGGACTCTTTACCACTTTATCAGTCCTCTGACATAGTTCAGGAGCATTCCTTTTTTCTGCAATTTGTAATTAAGAAGTTCAAGAACCACAAACTCAATTGGTCCCCTGATTGGGGGGACCATATTAGCCAATGATGTAAATTTTGTCAGCATCACTTGCTCAAAATGGTTCAAAAAATTCATTTTCTAATTTCTGAGTTAACCTTGATGTTATATTTGAATTTGTACTATAGCTAATAATGTGCATATAAACACTTTCTCTTCAGTAATTTAAATATTTTCCCTTTTCTCTCTGCATTTTTATATTTATAATACATTATAATTTAGGGTCACTGTGGCTGCATTTATTTGAAGACCTTGAAACTTGAGAGACAAAGTTTATGCATTATATATCATAGTTATCCTGTCTGATTTTATTTTATTTTTTGGTGTCACTTTTTCATCTTCAGAAGAACCAATCAAATATACATGCTACAATGCAATAACATGGTTATTTTGGGGTGAACTAATCCTAGTTAATCGAAGAGAACATCAGTTGATTATGAGTCAGTAAGTTGTATGTAGAATGTCAATGGATGTTAGGATTTCGTTCAATTTTCATGTGTTATAGAAAAATTTTCCATCCTATCTTTTACCATCCATGTTTAAAAATTATATGCATGCTAAACTTGAGATATGTTGATAGGAGAACATGTATATTTATGTACTGAAACCATAAACCATGCATTAAAAATATGCCAACCACGGATGCCTTATTAATACTTTGGATTTTGCAGGCATAAATGTTCTTTGTGGTGTAGGAATCCTTTCTACCCCTTATGCTGCCAAGGAAGGTGGATGGCTTGGGCTTTCTATTTTGTTCATTTTTGCAATTATTTCATTTTACACTGGCCTGCTCCTGCGTTCCTGCTTGGACAGTGAACCTGAACTTGAGACATACCCTGACATTGGCCAAGCTGCTTTTGGTACTACTGGACGTATTGCCATTTCAGTATGTCTGCTATCTCCATACTTATTTTTCAATGAGTTTTTCAAAATAGTAGTCATTGCTGTATCTCATACGCATTCGTGTACACTTTATGTTTATTTTTAAACTTTGATATCAAAATCAATACACATGACAATATCATATAGTTAGATAAATTATATTACATTAATATGTCTATAATGACTCACACTTACTCTCTTAAAATTATGTTTCTGTCTTAAAAATTTACACAATTTTCTGTATTCTAATGTTTGGATCATATTGTATCTGTGCTTTCTCGGGGAATATTGCTATGTTATTAAAAAACCACAAATATCTAATCCCTTTCTTATGCTCTCTCCTTTTTTCTGTGGATGCAGATAGTATTGTACGTGGAATTATATGTAAGTACAGCTGCCTTCACTCAGTGGTATTGCACTTGGAGTTTCACCCATTATAATTTGTTAAAGCAAATTAATTATAATGATGAAATTCCAAGTGGTTACCTTTTTGGATTTCACAGTTGCATCTTATTGGCACATGTTTGGATCTCATCAACTGTTACATTTTCATGAATTTGGCTTTCCATTAGTCATATGATAAGTAACAGTGTGCTTTTAGCCTTCTTCGTATGTTTGGAAGTTTCCCAATTGGTATAGCTGCATGTAATTGGGATTGTCTATTCATGTTTTAGTTTGTTCAAGTAGTCCTGCATGATAAACTCTTCAGTCCTACAATTTAATAACATATTCTGACACTACAATTTTCTTTGCTGCACCAAGATGTTTTGTTCTCATATGTACTCTTCTGGTAGCCAGGCACATTCAAGTGTGAGATAGCGATCCATGATACCATGGTCTTATGTTCACTTGTAGTGGTCTCATATTGACTGCTTATGTATTGGATACCATTTACCATATGTTCATGTTGATTAAAACAATGTTGTTATTTTTTATACTAGGTGCCGGTGGATCATACAACTTATCATCACTTCTTTTAAGGTTTTTAATATTATAGCAATTACTTTGCCTATTAAATATTCCTTCATGCAGGCTTGTTGCATTGAATATATAATTTTGGAGGGTGACAACTTGTCTTCCTTATTTCCAAATGCACACTTAAATTTGGGTGGAATTGAATTGAATTCACATACTCTATTTGCTGTGATTACTGCCTTGGCTGTTCTTCCTACCGTTTGGCTCCGAGACCTAAGCATTCTCAGTTACATCTCAGGTAAAAAGCTTATTCTTCTGCAAGTAATGATTAGTTATCCATTCTCTGATAATAGTTAAACCTAGGTCTTATTTACCTTTCTCCCTATAATCATATTGTTCAAACAAGATTTTATCACACTTCATGGTGTCCTTTTTTCTATAACTTCTTGTTCAACTAACCTCACTCCTTTGAATAAGGCTTTGTTGTTGTTGTTAAAGGAAATAATAATATGAAAAAAAAAAAAAGGTTCCAATGTATTAAGTTATTAATTCTCATTTGGAAGATCTTATTATAACCATTAACCATGTTTGTTATAGCTGGTGGAGTTGTTGCATCAGTTTTAGTGGTTCTCTGCTTGTTATGGGTTGGCGTAGATGAGGTTGGCTTTCATAGCAAAGGGACAACACTCAATCTTGCAACTTTTCCTGTTGCTATTGGTCTTTATGGTTACTGCTACTCTGGACATGCTGTCTTCCCAAACATATATACATCCATGGCAAATCAAAACCATTTCCCTGGAGTGCTCTTAGCATGGTAAATAACTTTTAGCCATAATCTATAATAACTCAGGTGCCAATAGTCCTTTCACTAAATATTATATCTCCTCAAGTCTTCTTACATGAATTGTGATTGACAAGTATATTCAAAAAATATAATTATCGGTGATAGCAGTTAAGGCATGAGTGTTTCAAGATGTACAATAAATGATATGTACATGTTGCATAAGATTTTATTTTCTTCTGTAGAAACTCTCTCTCTCTGAATCTAATACAATGTATGAATTTTTTTTTCCTCACAGTTTTGGTATTTGTACCTTATTGTATGCTGGAGCTGCTGTTATGGGATACACAATGTTTGGAGAAGCTACACTCTCTCAGTTCACTCTTAACCTGCCCCAAGAGTTGGTAGCCACCAAGATTGCTGTCTGGACTACGGTATACTCATTCTACATTTTATTAAAAATATTTTCTTAGTGGAAATGTGGAATTATGTTAGTTAGTGTTAAGATGTTTCACATTGGTCACGAATATACCAAAATTTGCACATTAAATGTTCAATTTTGAATATAAAAGGACACGTTAAAGTCCTGCGTGAATTAGAAATAGAGCCAGATATTCCTTATAAAGCTTGGACAAACCTCGTTATAAGCTAATTTTAGGAATAAGTTAGGCTTAATTCTTAATAATTAGATTATGTTTATTTTCTATTTTAAAAACAGTTTTTTATTTTTAAAAATATAATATAATACAAATTTGTAATATATTTTATTTTTAAAATGGGAAACAAACATACTCTAAATATTCCTTTTATATTTTTTCCTTTTCCCCATGGAAATTAATGTTAGAAGAAAAAAAAAAACCCATCTTAATCCAAAACCCATCTTGGGATAATTGGTTCTTGACTATTTCTTTTCCTGTTTTCTGGGACGGGGTTGGGGAAGAGCTTCCCTATTTTTGGTTCATTTATTATTCTCGTACTAGGTTTAATTCAGTATCAACATATTGTTAATGTTCTATTAACCATATAAATGACCAACATTACTCTTATTTTTGCAGGTGGTTAATCCATTTACCAAATATCCTTTATACGCGCCTTCTATAAAATACACATGTGCATGCATATCTACATATACACTTTGGAAAAAGTCATTCAGCATGAAGAATGGTTTTGTTTCCATACTGCATTTATTAACTTGTTTATTTATTTGCGACAGCATTTATAAGTTTGAAGTTCCTTTCTTCTTTTAAAATATTGGACTGAAATACGAATGAGAAATTCTGTTGTGAACAAATATTTCCAAGTAATTCAAGCATTTTGCAACATCAGAGCAAAGAATGGTGCAGAATTGAGAATAATTTTAGTCAGCATCATGCTTCACTTAAAGTTGTAAGAAAAAAGTTCATAGAAAATATAATTCAAGATTAATGTATTTACCAGGAAATAATGTTTTTATAGCATTTTTAGTTTCACAAGCATCTCTGGTGAAAAAGAAATAAAGAAAGAAAGCTGTTAATAAAATTTCCACTATCAAGAAAAATAGTTCACCTGGATTGCAATTATTTATGGAAGATTATTTATAACTATAAGCCATTCTGCATGGCTCGTTTTTTTGTTCCTACAATTAATATCTCAGCTCATTTAAGCATCCTAACAAGCCCTTGAAATTACAAACTTTGAAATGGTATTTCAAGACATGTCATTTCTCCTTCATTCTCTTCATAAAGTACTCTTACACTGAGAACAAAGAAAGATGCTTTTTCTTAATTAGCACCACGTATGCATTGACTATATCTCCAGTGGCAATGAGTCTGGAGGAGTTGATACCATCAAACCATGCCAAGTCTTATCTATATTCCATCTTCATCAGAACAGGGCTTGTACTTTCTACCCTGGTTATTGGTCTGTCAGTTCCCTTTTTTGGTGAGTCTTTCTACTTCCTTTTTTAATATGCTTGCTTGTAACAGCTCAATTTTACTTGCAAAGGAACTGTCTCTTCAATATTAATGCTTTACTACATATGGAAATTATATATAGACCAACAGAGGGAATAATTAATTGCATCATTTTCTTATTTTGAAAAATCATTGTACTATGACATAATTTCACAATTGCATTATGTTATATAATTATATCAACAGCATATCTATTTTCTTTTTTTGATTTTGCAGGTTTGGTGATGTCATTGATTGGATCATTACTCACAATGCTTGTTGTAAGTTCCCTTCAGTTTATCTGTTCTTGTTCCTAGAGTTACTGAACTCACGCATTTTTTTAATTAAATCCAACCTTGATGACAGACTTTGATACTACCATGTGCTTGTTTCCTAAGAATCTTGCGGGGTAAAGTGACACGATTACAGGTATGATGATTTCTCTCTGGTGAAATGCGTATTGAACATGGTAACAGACTAATAATGTCCCATCAGAATTAAGTGAACTACTCAAAGACTTAAAAAACAAACTATATTGATATTAATACAACTTAAAAAGTAAAAATGAGAAGGAATTTTGACTAGAAGCATGCCATTTTCATATCAAAACATCTTAAAACAAGACATCCAAAGGATTGTTATGGAAATGCCAGAAGAAATATCAGCATATATTCTTGTTGCACCTCTAATTAATTTCAAACATTACTTGTATTGTTATGATTGAACTCTACTTTTGTTTCATGTCTACAGGCAACTCTTTGCATTATAATTATCGCAGTAGGTGTTGTATGTTCTTCTATTGGAACATACTCAGCCCTTGTTGAGATTGTTAAGAGTTTGAAGGGATGAAGTTTTGAGGCTTAAATCCTGGAAGATTAGAACTTTTGCTGTTATCTACTCTGTCCGTTTATTCTATCTATTTTGAGTGCTCTTCCACAATTTTGAATTGATTTTTCCATGGCTTTACCATTTTGTTTATTTGTGGTTATTCTGATTCCTAGTTACCATATCATAAAAAGTTTTGCTCTCGTTTGAAGTATTGGCAATGGCAATTGGTAATCATAGAATGTGGCAGAAAGACACTTGAGAGTTTGTAAGGAGCAACCAAATGAGTTTGTAGAAGAGATTTTTTTCTCTGTTTGAAGTGTCTATTGCAATATTTTGGTGATGATAAATGATATCCATGACCATTTAATGTAGCAATATTGTGCTTACCAAAAGGGCAACAAGGTAAATGACATAACACAATGGATGAAACTGGCATCTGAGTCATGTTTTCATTCAAGACAGCAAGGTTTGTTAGCTGCGTGGCAGTTTATACTTGTTGCTTCACTATACTTTGTTTCATTGATCTTATAATTTATGGAGAATAATGGTTTGGTTGAATGATTTATAATCTCATCCGTGGAGATGTGGTTGCACTAGTGAAGCAAGTTATGACTAATTAATTTCACTAACCAGCACTCTTTCGTATCACTTTCTAGTCATAAATTTTCAAGACTTCAGGTTTATTACTCTGAAGAACCATGATTAACTTTAACAACCATTAAAAGCTCCAACTTATCTTCAAAGCAAATGCTGGCTTGTTGCTTTTGTTAACTCTTATGGGGATGATCTAGAGATACCATTTTAGTTGATAGAGTCGGTGATCTTATTGTGTTATTGGTCACTATTTTTTTTACCCACTTTCACTTATTTTTTAAATTTCGTTGGTTATCTTATTGCTATTTTCTTTTCCAATACAATCTAAGTTTTATCAGTTAGATTGGGTTGAGTTAAGAAAAGCAGCTTTGCCAAACAGCATGAACTATTTTAATACGAAACTATAAAAAAAAATTGTGTATTTTTTTTGTTAAAAAGATTTGAAAAAACTAAGGCCTAATACAAGCAATTAAAAGTAAAAAGAGTTAACTATTGAGTCATCACTAAAGGAAAGTACTTGAGATTACGAAGGTTGTCCATTTTAGACATGCCAAAATTAATTAAAAAATAAATACAAAAATATCTTTTCTAGAAGTATAATCAACGAAAATATATCAATCTTTGCAAACAAAATTTTGAATCTGCATAATAATAACATCATAAGAATAACATCATACTTATAAAAAGTAATTTAATATAATAGGAAATTTTGCAAAAATATTGTATAAGAGCTGGTTGCCATAAAAAGCTTAGAATCAACTTACCAAAATCATCAATATTAAGATTAGCTTAAATACTCTCATAAAAAAAAGTGTATTTCTGCTAATAGATAAATATAATAAGTTAAAAAAATTGATATTTGCAGAAAACATAGCAAATATTTTTGTTGATAATTTTGTAAGACAAAATTTACCCTATCTAGTATTTTAAAAAATTGCTAAAACTAATCTAACCCAACTTGATTCTAATTAATTAGATAACATATTTTTTTTAAAAAAAAATTGTCCTGATTAAATTTTTTGTGCTCCTAAGTTAGACTAATTTTTTATATATTTATTTGATTAAACCTACTCAATGTAAATAATTTTATGAATATGTTTAGATAACTACTTATTTAAATCTTATTTAATAAGATGTTTTTTTAAATAATAACTTATGTTTGAATTTTAATACTAAAATTTATTGAAACAAGTTTTATAAAAATAATCATTAAAATAAGTTAAAAATAAATTATACGAGAATGATAAATTATATTTTTATAAATAAATAATAAATTTTTAATGAACAGAGAGAAACCATATAAAGATAGAAAAAGATTTTTAAGAGACTCATTTTTTAAAATACCAAATAAAAATATTAAATTTTTAAAAATTAAATGTTCATTTAATCCAAAATATATATATTAAAATTTCAAAAATACATGTTAAAATAAAGTTTACATGCAAATTTGAACATCCAACACTCAAAAGAACAAAAGAACTAGCTGGCTAAGTCACTAAATGCATTAACTCTTAGTAAATACTAAGTCAACATTTTTTAATCATCCAAAAGGACTCAATTGCGTATTTATATGGCCATTAATAGTCTTTTAAGATCCTTGCTTTGTTATTTAAATTTAAAAATTAATAAAATAAAGTTTAAATAAAAATATAATTTTACGTCAGCGTAAAAAGTTCATATTGAATTTTCTAAAAAAAGTACTTTGAAGATACAATATTTTAAACATAAAACTACTCTACTATACAATTTTTAGGGAGGAATATATTTTTTTCTGTTGTAATTGATTATAAAGTCATTAATTTTTTCGTGTTAATCAATTGTAAATATAATATTCTTAAAAGAAATTAACAGTAATCAAACATCAATCATATTTATTAAATTTCTCATGAATTATATTCTTGCCAATATTATTTAAAAGAATATGGTTGGAAATGAAGAGAAAAAAAAAGTGATATTAAACACTGCCTTAGATCAAATCAGTGCCTTTCATTCTCGTGAAAGATATGTTTGACAAAAATTATGGATTATATACAATTGCCTTAATTAAAAAAATTCTTAAAAAGGTAAAATATGCTTTCAGAATTTTTTTTCACGAAATTATAAAAAAAGTAATAAAAATAAAGTAGAAATTTTCTAAGCACCAAAACGAAAAAAGAAAGAATATGTTGTGAAACGGCCCAAGCCCACGCCATCTCTCTGCAAATAATTCCTTTTTCCTCAGAATTCTTTTTTTTCGGATTTGGAAGAGAAAAAAACGAAGCATTTTCTTTTTCAGCTTCCTCATCCTCAAATCTATTCAAAGCGGTAACTATTATTCCTCTTCAATCTCTGCAACTTTTCTCTGTTTTATTTTTTTCAATATAAAAAATCCGGGTTTATTTTCTGGATGTGATTTTTGTGGAAATGTGCAAAATTGATGTGTTGATTTGCACATGAATTGTCGGAAGTGGTTATCTTGTCTTTTCTGAATAATGGGTTTCTCTATTTTGATTTCAGAAAGGATCAGATTTCGGGTTTTGTTTGTATTGATGTGAAGATTTCCTTTGAGCTGTGGAGTCTTAGGTATGATTCTATTTCCCCTGTGATTGGAATTTCTTTGTTTGATTTATGCTTTGTCCCATCTGTGGGTGAAAGGAGGTTTATTTGGTGTTATTATATGTGGGAATTTAACTTCTGGAGGTTACTGTGAAAGAAATGGAACCGTGATTATTGTTTTCTTCTTGTGTTTTGTTTGGTTTCCTTTAATTTCATAGCACCACAAAGTGGATTAAGGTATGGATTTATGTTTTGATTCTTATTTTTGTTTTAATTATTTTGGTTTTGTTTAATTTCATGGAATGTGTTTTTGGCATTCTTAGGTGACTTCTGGTTTGAAAATGGAAATGGCCAGTGGGAGTAAGTTGGATGTGCAAACTTTAGATGAGGGTTTGCAGCCTTTGCCGAATGGGACTATTGAAGACACTTTGCAGAGTGAACTGGGAAGGATCTTGCAAGAGCAGCGAAATCAGCAGTTTATCAATCGAGAAAGGGATCTAAATATTTGTAGGAGTGGAAGTGCTCCTCCAACGGTTGAGGGATCGTTAAGTGCTTTTGGCAGTCTAAGGAACTCAGATTTTGGATTGATCAATGGTAGGAGGAGCAATAATAATGGACTTTTGACTGAAGATGAGATCAGATCGCATCCTGCATATCTTTCTTATTATTACTCACATGAAAATATAAATCCTAGGTTACCTCCACCATTGTTATCAAAAGAAGATTGGCGTGTTGCACAAAGGATTCATGTGGGTGGATCTTCTTCAATCGAGGGATTAGGGGACTGGAGGAAGAATGTGCCAATAAATGACGTTGGTTCATCTCTATTTTCAATGCAGCCAGGATTTTCCGTGCAACAGGCAGAGAATGATTTGATGGAACTGAGGCAATCTGGTGGACGGAATATCTCTAGGCAGTGTTCAACCCAATTGCTTGACAGACAGGTGGATGCTTTAACAAGAATGTCAGGTGCTGGTCTTGATGGGAGGAGGCTGTGTTTCTCGGACATTCTTCAGGTAATTAATTTTCCCTGATTGCATGTGCATTATTTTTAGTTTTGGACAAGACATTTTCTGTGCACTATTAACTGTGCAAGGTGTCATTTTTCCTTGCAACTTCATTTTGACGTGAAGTATATGTAAAATTTGATTTCATTGTCAGTTTTGTGGAATTGTATGATGTTTACTAGTTGTTGGCACGTTATGATTGTTAAAGAAGCTTGGGTGTATGTCATGAAATACAGGTGCTTTGATCTGACAGTTTTGGTCAAGTTCTGCTTTTGACATTACACAATGTATTTAGGATATCGGTATGAATGTCTGGTGTTGCATACATGCATATCATAGTTTATATGGGCTTTCGATATAATAGAATGAAGATAATGCAGTAGCCATTTTATTATCTTTGAAGTGGAGAAAACCAATTGAGAAGGCTCTTTATATGTACTACAAAGAAGTGAACTAAAGTGCAAATTTGTCTTTCTTTAAAAGTAAACTTATGAACTGGTATATTTTCTGACAAATATTGGTCAAATAAGTTTTGATAAACTAGGTGAGGCATTGATTAATTGTGGTGTTTGCTATGACAGAGTGTCCATAATTATCCATAATAATATTTCCTGGTTTTCTGGGTTAAGTATTTATTTGGTATTAACATGTCCTTCCTGATTCATGAATTGTTTGAAATTGTGAACTGTCCATTTGTATTGATTTGGGGGTTGAATAATTGTTGTTAAATGCATCTTTGTGGTCTTGATTTCACCCTCATCCTTCAATTTCCAACGCTAATTATAACCATTCAATAAGATGAAAAAGTTTTTTGCTTTAATAATTTAAGCTAATAAACTGATGGAGCATGGCCTACTACTTTCTTATCTCTATCACTGGCGTTCTGTTACACTTATAACTGAAGTTAGTGTTTTAGCAGGGAGGACTTGAGCAACCTGCTCCCCTGTCTAGCTCCATGTTGCGTCCAGCAAGTCACAGTGCATTTGGTGATATTATGGATTCAACTGGCATTGTTGATCGTGAGTCCTTTGAGGGGTTGCGTTCTTCAGCTTCTATGCCTGGTTTGGTTGGACTTCAGAATCATGGTGTAAATCTTTCTAATAGTTTGGCATCTGCTGTTGGTACTTCTCTATCAAGGGTGAAAACCCCTGAACCACAGGTTATTGGGAGACCTGTTGGATCTGCAGTTCCTCAAATGGGTAGTAAAGCTTTCTCTGCTGAGAAAAGTGGTATTGGCTTGGGCAACCAGAATGGTCACTCTTCCAGTATGACTGATCTAACTGATATGGTATCTTCTTTATCCGGGTTAAATTTGTCAGGTGCTAGACGTGCAGAGCAAGATAACCTTTTGAAATCTAAGCTACAAATGGAAGTTGATAATCATCCTGATGCTCTATTTAGCACACCAAACAATGTTAATTTGGCCAGACATAAAGAGATTGTGACAAACCTTAACACCTTTGGTTCAATTGAGCAAGTCAGTCTACTGAAAAAAACTGCTTCTTTGGCTAATCTTCACTCAAAAATGCATTCTACTGGAAATGCAGCAAGTTTGCCTAGTGTAGACTTCAATGGCCATGTTCCTAGTGCATATCTTGTAAACTCAAAACTGAATGCTATTTACAGTAATAATCTCGAAACAGGTCTCTCTCTCTCTCTCTTTTTCTCCTCTTGCATATTTTTTTGTGTGAATAAATTTAAGCTCAGTGGAATTTGGCCTTACTAGTTTCTCTAACTATTCGGTTTGTGGATTCCAGCATTGAGGGGTCGCAGAGATGGACAAAGTTTAGATGCACAAGGAAATCAAGTTGGTCCTGAACTTCATTCCAGAATGCTGGACCCACACTTCATCCAATGCTTGCAGCAAAGTTCTGATTACTCAATGCGGGGGATGAGTAGTTCTGGTGATCCTTTTCAAATGAGAAATTTCTCTGATTCTTCACCTGGAGACTTGGAAGGACTTAGGAATGCATATCTTGAAACACTTCTTGCTCAACAAAAGCAACAGTATGAACTCCCACTTCTGAACAAATCTGGGCTTCTTAGTAATGGGTTTGTTGGGAATCAGCCATATGGTCTTGGCATGCCATATTCAGGGAAAAAGGTTGCAAATTCCTCACTTCCTTCTCTTGGATCTGGAAATCCACTGTTTGAGAATGAACGTATAGCACGCCTAAATTCTATGATGAGAAGTTCAATGGGAGGTTCGGCTGGTTCATGGCATGCTGATATTGGCAATAATATGGAGGCAAGGTTTACTTCGTCCTTACTAGATGAGTTCAAGAACAACAAGACCAGACCTTTTGAACTTTCAGATATTGTTGATCATGTGGTCCAATTCAGGTATGAATCTTGCACCTCTGCTGTTGATTCTAGTGACATGGTTCTGTAAGTCTGAACTGATAATCTATGCCATAATGCAGCACTGATCAGTATGGTAGCCGCTTTATTCAGCAGAAACTAGAAACAGCTTCAGTAGAAGAGAAGACCAGCATATTTCCCGAGATCATCCCTCATGCTCGGGCCTTGATGACTGATGTCTTTGGCAATTATGTTATTCAGAAAGTAAAATTAGCTTCTACTGCTGAATACCGAGTTTTTGTTTGGTTATTGATTTAAGAATTTCATGCTTGACATTACACTGTTGTAGTTTTTTGAGCATGGTACTGAGAGTCAAAGAAAGGAACTAGCCAACCAACTTACCGGTCATGTTTTACCTCTAAGTCTACAAATGTATGGTTGCAGAGTGATTCAGAAGGTGTGACTTTCAAACCTTATATTCTCCCATTATTCCTTGTCCATGTGCATTAACATATTCCTGACTCTTAAAATCACATTTCTTCAATTTTTGCATAAGATTGTCCTTTTTTGGGCCTCATCAAACCTTAGTGCTCTGTTTATATGTACAGGTGACCTTTTTTTGGCATATCGTTAATTAATTTTAGTTCAGTTATTTAAATAACTGATGAAGGCTTACCTTAATATCAAGTAAATAATATTTGTTGTTACAAGATTGAAGTTTAAGGAACTGAACCCCCTCCCTTTTCACTTGTTTACTCTCTTGATTGCTTTTAGATAAACTAAAATGAATGCATTATATCAAATCTTAGCTAACTTTATAGACAGGCCTTGGAGGTGGTTGATGAGGATCAGCAGAGTCAAATGGTGTCTGAGCTCAAGGGTGCTGTAATGAAGTGTGTACGTGATCAAAATGGAAACCATGTTATTCAGAAGTGTATAGAGTGTGTCCCTCAAGATAAAATTCAGTTTATTGTCTCATCTTTTTATGGGCAAGTTGTTGCACTTTCTACTCATCCTTATGGGTGCAGAGTTATTCAGGTTAGACTATTGGACATAGCGCACCTTCTGTTGAGGCTGTGTTGAACTTTGTTTCTTTTAGCATTTTATTTGACAATTAACAGTTTACATGGATGTAACAGAGGGTTCTAGAACATTGTGATGATCTAAATACGCAACAAGTTATCATGGATGAAATCATGCAATCTGTCTGCACTTTAGCACAGGATCAATATGGAAATTATGTTATTCAGGTATGTACCTCAGAGTATATGAACTTTTTCATATAGAATAAGAAATACCCATCAGCAGTAGAGATGCACATTTTATGCTTTGATGCTTCTGTGCTGATTCCCTCACTTGTAATATGCAGTGTAGTTTTGTGACTTTGGTTGTTTCTCCCATTGTAGACAAGAACCAAGTTCATGTTTGTATTTTGACAAACAGGTTTTTCTACCTCTGTCATGAAAGACTAAGTCTGAAGCAGTGATGATCTATCAGAATTGTTGGATGCATGTTGCTTGACTTATTTGGCCTGAAAATAGCATTTTAGATCTGATGCACTCTTTTTATACTCTGTTCATGTGGCTTTCCTTATTCGTCATCAATTTATATTGAAAAGCTTCATACCTTGGGCATGTTCATATTTCCCAAAATTAAATGAACAGACAGTGTTGAGCAAGCTAATAATTAGACATTTATTGCTGTTGTTATATGTTATATAACACCTGTTGAAACTGTTACTCCTGTTTCATATTTTCTGCTTGAGTAAATAATGTATGGAGGTTTCATTCTCAAGTGATGCAGAACTAATATTACAATTAGCAGATTGAATTTTGAGATGTCTTGCTTTTTGTTTTGTTCATTTTCACTTGTGATACGTTAACCCTGTTTTTTCCTTTATTCTAAATAAATGTTGATTATTTTTTATTTATGCTGATTTGATTATGAGTGCTGTATCGTGATACTATGTTATGTTGGCTAATTCCTTTGTTACTTCTATGCGATACTTTTCTTTGGTAGCATATCCTGGAACATGGTAAACCACATGAACGGACTGCTATTATCAACAAGCTTGCTGGACAAATTGTCAAGATGAGTCAGCAAAAATTTGCTTCTAATGTCATCGAGAAGTGCTTGGCTTTTGGTACTCCTGAAGAACGTCAGATTTTGGTGAATGAAATGCTTGGTACTTCTGATGAGAATGAGCCCTTACAGGTATGGCGCCTTTCATCTCTTACTGTTCAAAATTTCAATTTTTCCAATGCTGGAGATTGTCAACTCATTCTTTTTCATGTCATTTAATTTAGTATCAGCTGAGGATATTAGTTTTTAACTTGTATTCTTGTGCAATCATTGTCTAAGAATCTGTTCATGTGTGTTCACTTTCTCTTCCTAAATGTTTCATCAGCATTGCCAAAAAAATAAAGCCTTTAGAAAGAGTAATCTATATAGGGAGTCCATTTTTTTTCTGATAAAAGTTAAAGTATGAAATTAAATTGTGTTTAGTATATTTATCAAATCAAAGGCGGTTAGTGAATGATCATGATGAAATATGAAATTTGCAGGCTATGATGAAGGACCCTTTTGGAAATTATGTTGTGCAAAAGGTTCTCGAGACTTGTGATGATCGAAGTCTTGAGCTGATCCTTTCCCGCATCAAGGTTCACTTAAATGCACTCAAGCGATATACTTATGGCAAACATATAGTTTCTCGTGTTGAGAAGCTCATAACCACTGGAGGTAAAGAATGCAGAGACTTAACATAAATTTCCATAACTTGTCTATGAATTGCTATGAAGTATTTTGATTTCTCATAAGCCCCTTATTTGCAGAAAGGCGCATAGGATTGTTGGCCTAATTTACTACAGCCTCAGGCATCCAATGAAGGTCTTGAGGACAAGCAGTCCTCCTGTCACTTGGTTAAGGTCTTTCTTTTGTACAGCTAACATGGATGTTAATATCACCAAGTTTCCTCTGCAAGCTTTACCTATTATATAAAGCCTTGGAGATAAACAAGGTCAATTGGGCCCCTGGAATAATTTTTTTTTTTTTTCACTTTGCTTGATTTCGTTAATATCACTTCGCAGAAAATCTCCATAAGGAGATGTTTAACTTAGGATGTCAAGATTAGAATTACGGCAATGTGTATTTATTGTGTATGTATATGAGGTCCATTGTCTGTAAAGAAAATAATGGTAAATGATTTATTGCAGTAACCACCAGAGTCATTATTAGATCAGGCTCTAAACTTCTATTTCATGTATGTAAATAATATGCTGCAAGCTTCTTGGGTTGCTCTTATCTCTTTGATTCCATGACCTATTACCCAAGTGAGCTTCTCTTCGATTTATATTAGAATTGAGTTTCCTCCACACTTGAAGGGAAGTCTAGTTAAATTAATTTCCCAGAAGAAAAGTATTTTGTTCTTGCCCGGCCCTGTTTATTCTTTTTGAGACTTCTAATATGCATGCAAGCAGACATGCTAAAACAATTTCACCCGTTAGGAGTAAGTACTCAAGAAATACCCTGAAAAGTTTATAATAGTAGGTTCCACTTGGCATTTTTTATAAGAATCTGTTAATCAGTTTGCTTTAGTCATTTTTTTATAACATCTTATTCAAATTGTGTTACATTATTTTTTAAATGTATAAAAATGTCTTTAATTCACAATTTTTTTTTCTGGTCAATAAATGTGTTGCGTTAATTTCTTGGACTGTCTCATGCGGATAAGAAAATATCACTAACTAAAGTCATTATTTAGAGATGTATTAATTAGTTAGAAAGAGATTAAGAAAATTAAGTTTCAATTTTAAGGGCAATTTTGAAAAAATATAAAATATTGATAAATTTAATATTATTAATTAAAATGATTAAAATTTTGAATTATTATGAAGTGATTAAAAATGGTTTTATATATAAGACTAGAGGCTGTAATTTCAAATACAATACAATGGTATCAAAAGGAAATAAGATTTTATTTCCAACATCATAGATGAATTTTACTCTTTTTTCTCTCTCTCTCTCTTTTTGAAAGATATATTGGACAAATTCACATGTCATGGGAGTACTTGATTTTGATGAGAAGACCAGCTTTGATTTCAGTTAAACATCTACATTTTGTGCTTTTTAATTAACCAATAAAACAGGCTTATTTAATTTGTCACTTTTTATACTATTATTGAAGCTGATTATATTGATTATTTGAAAATATTGATTTATAAAAACACAAGTTTTGATGAAAATTGTCACCCAATTTTTTTGAGCAATGCTCTTGAAATTTATATACATTGCCTTTTTATTATTATTATTATTATTAAGATAGAATTCAATAGTTTAGAATGAAGCAAATTTTCAAGATCTAGCTATTTTTTAAGATCTTTTCCTATTAGAAACGTCAAAATTATAACTTCTATACAAGTATGTTTTAAGATTCGTAACTAATATTCATGTCCTTGAGTTAGAACTTGTACGAATTTCAAGTTTATAAAAAGAATTTTACTTGCAATTTTGAATTTTTTTAATTACAACAATATATTAAACAATGTACTCAGGAGTAAAGCTACACTTGATAGAATGAGCGAGGATGTGAGGGCTGAAAAAGTGATAATAAATAGTAAGAATTTAACTTACTGAAACTTTAGTTTAAAATTTTCATCTTTAGTTTAAATTTAAAATTTATGTTTTACTATCTTGTTCATAATTTTATTATTACTTGAAATATACAAGTATAAATAATTCTTAATTTTTAAAAGTTTGTTAATTCATTAATAATTAATTTAAATACTATCTAAAAATAAAACTAAAATATTTTATTTTGTTCTGAATAATTATAAAATAATTTCCTTTAACATAAAAAAATTGAGAATATTGTATTACACAGAATTAATGTGCATCACATAAGTTTTATTAAATTAAAATATATTTTAACTAAAAAACGAGTATATTAGATGACTTCTTAAAATCTAATAATTTTATAAATTTAAAAAATAAATATTTTCATTAATAATGAATCTGTCACTACTTGTGAAGAAAGGTTTTTCGACTGTGTTTTTAATATTGTTCTCTCATTGCTCTCAGTGCGATAAGGATCGGCACCCTGCCCATTTTGGCTTTTAATCTAATTTCTTCACCAAGAGGAAAAAGAAAATAACAATGCTTTAAAATAGTAATTGCAAGAAGTTTAAAAAGTTTAAACAAATCTCACTAGATGAAAGAAGTTTAAAAAGGTTATACCTTAAAAAAAAAATCATACTTTCTTTCTGTAAATAATTATTTAAAAATAGTTTAAAAAAAAAAAAAACATCAAGAAGATATAAAATTATTTAATCTTTCTTTCCTGTAAATTAGAAAAGGATGAATATTCCTTTGCCATTCTTCAATCTTCTGCCAAGACCAACCAATGGAAGAAGAAACAGACGAAAAGCAAGAGTTAGAAGTAGGATAAATAAAATATATACAAAAGAATAAATGCTGTACAAGAGAAAGAAAATGTTGATATATACAAAATAATGAAAGCAGAGTTAGTGTTAGGAACAACACTAAACATTAAAAGCTCAAATAATCACAAAGCCGATCATACTGAGGAACTGATGCGTGAAATAGTTGCATCCAACCAATGTGACACCGAACCTAGCCACCGAAATTCCACCATTTCTTCTTTTTCTTTGTATGAGATGTGGGCAATTCTGAATATGAAATCACAATACAATCAAATTAAGATGCATTAGCACTTAGTAAGTTTCATCAGTGCTGATTAGAAAACAAGTGTAGCTGCTGCCTCTAAAATATTTCTTTTGGTAAAATTAAAAACATAATCAAAAGTGATTCCCTCTCTCCCTTCCTCTTATTACGTTTCTGGCCTTTCTTTATCTTTCAAGAAATTAAAGATTATCCAAAGAAGCTAACTCACTAGTAAGATTGAGATATCTTATGGAGTCGCATAATGAGGCTGACACAAAAAAATTAACACTTACAGCAATATTACATAAAACTGTAATAATGGCCAGCAAATGAATTCAAAATGAAACAGACTAGACCCATCAAAACATTAAGGGATTGTTTGGAAATGAGGGCCTTGGAGAAGATAGAGGAAATTTTTTTTATTTTAAAATAATATTTTTTTTCCAAATAATAGATAAAAAATGATATATTTACATAAACTTAATGTATTAATCATGCATTTATCATCATAAATGATATATAATTTTCTTAATTTAAAATTAAAAAATATGTCCTCCCCTCACATCCCCTCCAAAAACACTCTCCAAAGCAATCCCTAAAATAACTCACTAAGTTTCAATGTCTATGGTTCTTTTGTTAACTGCCACCCAGTAAACTTACACACCCCACCTTCGAAAAATATTGTATCCAAAGTGGGTAATTCAGCATTTCAATTATTTGCTAAGGAGATCTTAGCTACATGCCTACATGTTGGTAAATAGGATTCATGGCATAATAAATATTTTACCTCCTTCGGGATATATTGAGTTGTAATGCACCTCTGCCCAAAAGCTCAGAAATATCACTGCAGAAGTCACAAGAACCACAAACTTAGCATGTGGCTGAAACAGAACTTAAAATACTATCAGTACATGTCACTTTATGCACCACAGTCAACAAATTACTTTTCTATAGATAAGCAAGATATTACCATTTACAAATTTGGAATTTCATCTCTCTACGAGCAACCAACAAGTTGGTCCTCCAAAGTTATATATATCACCATATCAGTCCTCTAGAAAATTTGGTTACCAAATTAGTACTTTGAAAATTTAAAATATCACTATATTAGTCCTTCAAATTAGTCCCTTAAAGATATAAAATGTTGCTGTATTCATCCTTATGGAAGAATAAAACTAAATTGGTGAAAACAATAGATTAATTTGGAGAACTAAATTTTTTAAAGAATATTTCATGACGAAATCTTTGGAGAACTGAAAACGTAATGACCTAGGGACTAATTTGGTAATCAAAATTGTTGAAAGACTAATTTGATTTGTGTTACAACTCTAGAGGACCAACTTGAGGGTTTACTTCTATATATATATATATATATATATATATATATATATATATAGAGAGAGAGAGAGAGAGAGAGAGCATCCATTGACACACCAGGAGTAACTCTTTAGATTTGAACACCAAATCTCAATGTACTAAATACTAATACAATCTTACCTCTTCCAGATTTTTGTCTCTGTGGAAGAATCTCAATGTAACATGTGTCCTTAAAAGATGTAATAACAAAAATCTTGACACCATACTGAAAGGACAGAAGAGAAACGACCATATCAGTAAAAAATAAATGAGGATTTTACATAAACAAAAAGGCAATAATTACAAGTTGTCATCAGTTGAAGTCCCAGCTCATGACCTCGGTTTAAGCTACTAGTATACAACAGCCATGGTCATTTAAAGTCCCAAATCATTTTTTTATTAAATAACATTATAATTCCAATCATTTAAACCTTGGATAAGTCAGTCAGTAAGTTAACAAAAGAGCTGAAACCATTTGAACTTTTAAAAATGCCCAAAAAACCCACTGATTTTTGTTTTAACTGTTAAGAGGTCAATTTCCGATTCAGATAAACAATGCAGGTAACTTCAGCAAACTCTAAAACAACATCCAAAATCTTTTCAGAAGCAAATCAAGGGAATAAGCATCCATGAATTCAGATAGGTAAAGATTTCAACCTTGAATCAACTACATGTGCAAAGACACTAAGCAGTGTAACCAACAAAAAAAGAAAAGTAGTATAGAGAAGGCAAAAATAAAATGAAAAATGATTATTTCCTCATACCCAATCTGCAGCAGCCTGTAGCGTGACATGATCACCCCATTCACCACTCCTGATATATCACACACAGAAAGCCATCAGTGAATACAACTTATACAAGGACCATGGCATAATGAGAGATATAAACATACTTGCTCATCTTCTTCAAATAATCACTGTAACCCATAGGAACATAACCCGCATATATTTCTGGGTATGACTTGAGCTGATAAAACACAGCAAAAAGCAATTTATCAATAACAAGGACTACAAGGTAGCCAACTCAACAGTCAACACAATGTTGCAAACACCAACAAACCTGTTGAATAATTTGTTCCCGCACAAATTTGTGGTGGTCTGGAGAGCGATAGAGTTGATCTGATAAAGAACGAAACTGAAACAATACGGCACCAATAAGGCACTCATTTCTTTTATTAAGAGTACTAACAATCATGCAACATTAGTAAAGCTCATTAAAACTAAATTTAGAAATTTCAAGATATTTGGTTCTACAACTGCAAATTTGTCATGAACCATAATAATTTATATAAAAATAACTAAGTGGATGCTCGAATAAATTTAAAAAGTTACCGAATGGTTAAATTGCAATAGATAGACAAAATCAATAAAAATGTTTTAAACAGATAAACTGTATCATAACACTACAGAAAAAGGATTTTTCCCCCCAAAAAAAGAAGAAAAATAAAAAACATCTAATTCTGATGAACTTCAGCACGGAGTTTTATACTATCAATGAACCCTGTGGTCCACCTGTAAAGAAATCAGTTTGATTCTGATCCTGTTTACTAATAGTGAAAAGATTTTTACACTAATTATGGACAAAATTTTAAACATAAGGAAACTAAAACATTTTTATTGCAATTTACAATTAAATGGACAGCAGGTGCAGCCTAGGAATGTGAAGCCACACATTTCACAAAGGCTTGGCAATTAGTGCCTGCATCGGCCAACACAAGGTGTTTTTTCTGCCAAAGTTGCGGCTTTGAGGTGTGTTGAGTGCTGTGTTAGGCCAACCTCCCACCCCCCACTGCCCACACCATGTATGAAGTTATTTTTGCACCAGTTATTTATGTTATTACTTGGTTAAATTTTAGATAAAGGTGGCAGAATAGCTCCTATGTCTTTCAAGCAAATGGAATGATGGTTGGTTTCTAGGATGGAAAATACCAGATAACCACAACATTTTGCCGAGATTCCTTCCAGACTGAGTTGGCATCGGTATTAATGTGTGGTCCTCACCACTTTCTTTTATCCCACAACCACCCACCCTTAAATCTTGACACATTTTGGTTTGCATAGCATTACATTTGAAAGATTGTGACTGATTACGCTATTGGATTATTGGTCCAAATATATGTTTTAAGTTTTAATACAAGTAGAATAGTCAAGCAGGTTCAGGTTTTATGCCCATGAGTATCGAGTTATGAGTAGATTTAGGTGGGGTGTAAAATTTGAGATGTAGGGATGCGATGAGTAAAATCCATCCTGTTGCTAAGCCTACTTTCATAATCTACAACACCAATGTTCAAACATGTTTCCCATAATATATTTTATGAAGTTTCTAACAAGGATAAATAAATATATGGGAATTGAACTGCATCTCAGGAATAATCTCACTCATAAAGATAAAGAACCAACCTGGCAGTTACCATCTCCTTGAACCTTACATTCAATCAGATCATATAACTGCAATCTAAGAAAGACCAAACTCATAAATTTAGATAAATGCTCAATTACAAAAAAATTAAAATAAAGATAAGACATGCATTTTGTTCTAATTTAAATGCAAATAAGTGAAGGAAAAATAAAAAGGAGAAAGAACTAATTAGAACAACTTTTCTTGTTTTTGACTTATTCAATCTTGCTTGTCCAATATTCCCCTTTCTTGCTCTTACCCCAGAAGAATTGGATCAAAGGATACAGAAGGTTGTGAAGGACTTCCTGTGGTCAGGGGTAGGGGATCTGAAAAGAAATCATCTTGTTAATTGGGATTGGTGCTGCAGACCTTCAAATGAAAGGGGTTTAGGCCTGAAATACTTTGTTTTTAAAAAATTAAAAATATTGCTTTGGCAGCTAATGTGGCAATTTTTTTTAGAAACTAAATCATGAAGGCACCAAATTCTTCAGCAAATAGGTGTGACAATCTACTCAGGCATCGGGTGATTTAATGGCTGTTCCCTCTACACTTCTCCAGAGAAGCCATAAAAAACTGCAATAGATTAGGCAAGGGATTGGCAACATTGCTGTATTCCTAGTTTTATGTTTCATTGTTACATTTTATTTCCAACTTTTGGGGAGCTATTCTCATCTAGCTTTTACTTCTCTCTAAAAGATACCTTTCAATTTTAATAAAGAAAAAAAAAAAACAATAATACCTATACAATTTTTTAAAACTTCTTAAAAGCAAGAGTGACTAAGTGTAAGAGTTGAGCCTAATTGGATGAAAAATTTGTCTCCCCCCCCCCCCCCGGCGCACGGCAAGAGTTACATTAGCAAATTATTGACTATTTAGGAGAAAATATTAAGACAATTTGTGTGTGTGTAATGGGGACAGGAGGGGTGCGGGACAGCATTTAACATCTATCTACTAGAAAACTACTCAAACCAACAGATATAAAACAGAAAAGAAATGAAGACCTATCTAGCAGCCTTTGATGATCTGATATTTCTTCATCATAGGATGGTATTTTTTCATTGGTTTTAGGAATATGCTGCAAACATAAACAAGATAAGTAAGTGCATGAATTATTACTTAAATTATAAATCCATAACTAGACTGTAATATTGACAATACATCGCTTAAGTATGGTGTATATAAATTGAAATTATAAAGCTGCAGTTTTATATACAGCATATAATGCAGCACATAAATATTTGTACGTTGAACTTTGTTTCTCATGATCTGAGCACTAATTAATATCAATCTGATTCCTACATTTCTATCAAGCAATAAAAAATCTTGTTCTTGATAGACTAATAGGTTAAAAGCTCATCAATCACATTTTACACATGCAAGAATTTTGTGCTTGAAACTTACGAAAAAACACCCAAAAGAAGGCACAATTCAAATGGTAACCGATACAAATGGAAAAACTATAGCAAAGGATGAAATAGGATGAGTTTAAAATGGTAATCAAATGGCTGCAAAAAGCTACACTTACAGGAATGGGAACCATCTGGTTTAATCTTTTGCCAACTTCACCATCAAGAGAAGATTCATCCGATATTTCCAAAGACTGCCACAAGTCATCACTTGTAACAGGTATCTCTCCTGATCCAGAAGATAAACCAAAAACATCAATGTCACGTGCATCATTTTCCCTTCCACTTGGACCATAATTCTCCACTTCTTTCATAGTGTATGACTCGTCTTCAGAGTTTCGGCAAGACTCGTTGTCTACACATTATTGACAATTTATCATGACAAGTTTTAAAAATCCATTACAAGTAAAATAAAATAAAAACTGCAACTCCCTACCAAAGTTATAGTTTCCATTTGAAGAAGAAGGCCAATCTTGTGCATATCGCAATCGCTCATTCTCAAAATCTGATATTCCAGAAGCTCCCATGGAATCAAGTTGAGATAATTCTTCTTGATAAGCACGTGCAACAGCCTCGTCATTTTCCACATACACATCCTGACAAAAGCCTTCTCTAACATATTCAACTCGACTTAAATCAGGATCATATCGAGTTACGATACTTGGCGAACGGTGATGGGAAAGGGTGCAAACATCTAGGAGATGAAGACCCCAGCGAACAACATCAGGATCCATGTCGTGTGTTGCCATGTGCCAGCAAAACACATGTAACTCTATATAGTTCAGTAACCAACTTGATTTGCCTTTATGCTCCTAAAGTGTTCAATTGCTGAAAAACAACAGAAATTGGTAATCAAACTACATAGATGCAATGCTTTCACAAAAAATAATAAATCACAAACAAGGAAGAAAAAGGTAAAATGATTAGAGGATACTCTTTTTGTCTAACCAACAAAACACCATTCACAGCGGAAACATTGAAAAGCACAAGGCATGAATCATCAAATTCACTATAAACAATCTCAGATCAGAAGCTTCACATCTCCACATATGTCTCTCACATTTCTCAATCGAACCCAGCAATTCACAAGAAAAATAAAGGGATATCATCCACCCTTAATTCAATTACCATGCTTATTAAACATGAATCCAAAAACACAAAAAATAACTCTTGATTTTCATCCCCAATGCAAACGAACGAATCATTAGACAAAAAAAAAACCCTAAACCCTTATCCACACGCAAAATTCCACGATCACCCAGAAAAGAAAAATCAAAGAAAAGCATTTAAAAGGATTGCAAGAAACAGAAGAAAGGAAGGAAGAAAGAAGGGAAACCTTGCTAAGAAAAGATGAAGAAGTAAAGAAAGACGATAAAGATTAGAGAATGAAGAAAGGGATGGGCGAAGATCGTTGTTGAATGTTGAAGAAAACAAAGACACGAAAATGCAGAAAATCTGAGAAAAACAAAAAAGACAAATTTTTTGGAACCCGAAAATAAAATTATAATTACGAGACGAAATTATTTTCAGAGTATATACTCCATCGCTTAATTATTAGTATTATCTTTTATTCTTTAATTAATATTTATTCTAAAATGTTAACTGAAGAAAGTAAGTATTAATGGAATACAAAATAGTTACCTTAATAGAATTTATTGAATGCTTTTAAGATTGCCTTCAACTTCAGAGAAAAAAAATAGTTAGGAAATTAAAAAATAATAAAAAAGTATTATCAATTATTATTATTATTATTATAAAGTAAAAACATAAAATAAAAAATTATTATAAAATAATAAGTGATATTAAAAAAGTATTATTTTTTTAACATATTTATCACATTTTTTAATTAAATTTTTATTATTAAAATATTCATTATCAACATCTTTGCGGGTAAATTATACTAATTTATTGGATTTTTCAATTAAATTTTAACAAACTATTATAAATTGTTTTAAGGATAATAATATCTAGGATATTTTTCAAATATTTAAATTTTATTAAATAAAATAAATTTATAAAAAAATTAATGAGACAAATCTCAATTTATTAATAAATAGTATAAAAAAATACTTAAAAAATTACAGTTGTTTTATCTTTATTTCAGATTTTTTAAATATATATTTATTGACACAATTAAAATTTATAGGTAATATATAATATATTAAATTAAATTTTATTTATTATTTTAACTGTATGTTAAAAAAATGTTAAAATAATGTAATTGGTAAGAAAAACGGCGCCGCTTTGACAGCTAGCTGTCATTTCTTGAAATTCTGCAACCGTCACGATTCCTTCACTGTGAGAGTCACAATTTCTGTAACGTTAATGTCGCGTGCATTTCAATTGACATCATATCAGAGTTTTGGACTATCCCACTCAGGCATTGTTAATCATGTTACTTATTAAGTCATTTTTTAATTTCTGTATTATATAAATATATTATATTTTTAATAAAATATATTATATTTTTTTTATCATTTATCTTTGAGTTTATAGTTAAAAAATCAATTAAAATATATTAGAGGTACAGTTAAGTTGAATGTCAGGAAAAAGAATAATGTAACACGCGGAAACATCAAACGTGCAATAACATCACGTCACGCATCCGAATCTTAGTATTTACATTACGTAAGTCATATGTGAGCATGTGATGTTTAAATTTAGTGTCAAGATTTTAAACCAGAACATGCAACATTTTTAAATTGACGTCAACTTTATTATGCCATGCCATGCTTTAATGGTATTATTTACTCATAACTAACAAATGTTTTACTTAAATTATAAGAAATTTTTAATCTAAGTAACATTTATCGAAAATCAATAACCTGTATTATATGAAAATTATACATAACTAATTGTAATTAATAAAAAATAATATAATTATTTAAATTAATGATAAAAAGTAATTTGAGGATATAATAATTTATATATATATATATAAACATAAGATCTGACATGAAAGAAAAAACAATACAAACTAAATAGAACTAACATTTGAAGATAACAATTTCAGAATTTTTAAAATAAAAAAATCATGAATGCTGACGAAGTACAATGCCACGAGAAAAAAAAATAGAATAACAATGTTATCACATTTAAGATAAAACTGAAATTCATAATAAAGATTGATAATTTATGACATAATCATATTTCACATATTTGATGCCAAAAATTTAAATTATTATATATTACCTCCGCAAGTTATTATTATAATTAAATTTTTATTATATATATTTATTTTTATTCAGTTGAATGTCTTTCTTATTCCATGATACATGTCTTCTGAGTTTTTATAATAAAATTAAATTAATTTTTCTTGAACTAATATCTAACTAAAAGTAATTTTTATTTAAAAAATATTTTAAATATTTTTTTATAGATTATATTTGAAATAATTTTTATCTGGTAAGAGAATTGATGGGTTATCCTTAATTAGCCCACAGGATTCGGATTTTGGTGGCCCATTTAACATGTGAGCTTTATTAGCCTCTAAACCTCGATGTTTGTCTAAGCACACAGTAATGCTAAACCGAAAACAGACACAGGAAGAGCAATGGTACAAGTTGTCTGTGACGTGTGAACGTAACATGTTAACCAAAATTTGAGGCTAAATTAACGGAATATCTTTATTTCTTCGACAACTTTATAAGTAGCTGTCTTCTCGTTCGAACGTGGTGTCATGACTCTCCCTTTGGTGGGTCCCCCCATGACTACTTCACTTCTCATTCTCTCTTTTCTATTGCTACGTAACGCTTCCATGTCTTGGAAGCATAAGCTCGAACTAACTCAACAACATGTGTAGATGGAGGAACCATTTGTGGGTACCCATTGTGGTTTTGAGCTTGATTCTTGGGATGATACAGTGCCAAGACATGAATGACTATGATAACCAACTTGATAACCCTTTTGTTCTTCCCCTCATTACTCAGCTTGTCTATGGTCGAATCTCCAATTTGACATCACTTATCAGTCAACAAATAAGCACAGAATCCACTTTCTGTGTCAAAGACCCGTTTGTTTCTTTTTCTCTTTTTGCATCTGTTTGGTCACTTTGGTTGGTAATCTCTTGAGCTTGATTGTGAAAGCTATATTCTTGTTCCAGGGATGCTGATTGGAATCAAGCATTTAATTTTTCATCTGATTTGGGCTTCTTGGCATCTTGCATCAAGAAGACTAATGGTATGAACACTGACAATTCGAAACAAGTTATATATTGCTCAAGAAAAAGAAAAGACACATTTTTTAAATTTTTTCTTTCATTGGTCTTCGAGGATGAAAAATATAGAGATATTAAAACTAATATGGATGTAAATTGTAAGGGATAAATATTTCACTCTATTTTGATTTTAGTACAAGACAAACATGGACTACAAGAATATGTTTATGCTGGGACTATATATAGTTCAAAGTTAACAGAAGATCTCTCTGCTAAAACTGAGATGACTGGATGAGAAAAATGAGCAACATTTGAATTTCTGTTCTCTTCAAGAAATCTTATTCCCTCATGACAAAACTTTACTTATGCTTCGGATTTTGATGATTTAACAGGAGATATTGCAAAACGGTTGTGTACAGCAGCAGAAGTGAAGTTTTACTTAAACAGTTTATTGGAGGGATCTATAAGTGCCAATTACTTAAAGCCTAACAAGAATTGCAATTTAACCTCATGGCTCTCTGGTTGTGAGCCAGGATGGGCTTGTAGTGTTCACTCAAGCCAGAAGATTGACCTTAAAGATTCAGAGGAGATACCTGCAAGAACTTCAAACTGTCAAGCATGTTGTGAAGGCTTCTTTTGTCCTCATGGTATCACGTGCATGATACGTAAGTATAATGAGAATCTTTAACTTACTTTCTTCATTACTGACGACTGCAAATAACTTGTATGAGATAATACACCAACTTTTTATTAAACACTCAAGCTTCTTCAAGAAACTGTCTTATATTGTGCCAGCTAGCAAAAAAAAATTAAACATTTTCTGCTCTGAGAAATTTATAGTAGTGAAGCATAATGACATTATATGCAGCAATAAAACTAATGATTATCTGTATATCCCAAAAACTGTCTCTGATGCTACTATTCTTTCTTTTTTGGGCATTTGAAATATGGTTCTTGAAGCATGCCCTCTAGGTTCCTATTGTCCTCTTGCTACACTCAATAAAACAACTGGCGTTTGTGAACCGTGAGTTCGAATTCTGGCCCAGTGTTTTGTTTTGTAATTTTTTCCTTGAATTGTTGCTTGCATGTTATTATTAAATTAATATACAGATATATTTCTGCAGATATATTTATCAACTGCCTCCAATGCAACCAAACCATACATGTGGTGGAGCAAATGTTTGGGCTGACGTTAGTAGCAGTAGTGAGATATTTTGCTCAGCTGGATCATATTGTCCTACAACCACCAAAAGAATTCCTTGCAGTAGTGGGTATTATTTTGCTCTAACACTTCATTACTAGTACTAGTTTTGCTTATACCAAATTTGGATCCTAATATTACTAGTTTTGCTATATCCTCCTAAAACATTCTCTTCATACTTCAGAAAGAAAGTATTAAATGAAAAAGTAGATTCATTTGATACCTTGGCAATATATGAAAGCATCCAACATTGTCTTAATACTACACTTAGGAGTATTAGTAAGAGGATTTATAATTATTCAAGTAATACAAAGTGCTTTTTGGAGGAAATGGCCCTGCATAGCTTCTTACTATCCTCGTTATACTGTTTTATTATTGGGAATTTCTGAACATTTTCTCTTATAATTTCAGACATTACTGCAGGGTGGGTTCCACATCTGAGAAAAGTAAGATATTATGATTTATGAATTCTTGCGGCAATACATCTGTTTATAGGTCTCATATTTACTAATCGATTTCTAAATGTATATATGCAGAGTACATATGACTATTTACTGATTATCTTGTAGGATGCTTCAAGTTGAGTTCATGTAATTCCAACACAGAAACCCAAAATATGCATGCATATGGAATTATGCTCATTGTAAGTTATTTCTGAACCTAAATGTTAGGATATGAAATAGAAACAACGGGATATAGTAGCACTGATTGGAATTTTGTTGGTATGGACATTTATTAATAATTTGGGTATATTGGGGCATTTTGATAAATTGGGAGTTATTCGGTTCCCTATTTAAGGATTGCTTAGTACTGATTTTTAGGGACGTAAATAAAGAATTGAAAATTGAAAATTTTCCTAGACTTCTATCATTCTACCTTTTACCTTTTCTCTGTCTCCATCTTTCAGTCCCTCTCTCCATAATAAATTCCTTTCCTTTCTTACTTACCTGATCTGCATCACTGAGAAGTTGAACTTCTATTTTACTACATTGCATTCTTTTTTGTAATTGATCTTCAAAGGAAGAAGGACCAACTTTTTTGTGTTTAAAGTAGCTTGGATATGCACTCAGAAAAAATTTCTCAATATTTTATGGTTCCTGTTTTTCATTCGTTTTAGTTTTTACTTAATAGGCAAAGATGATTTATGAATCATGATCAATTCTTAGCATCATGTCGCGTAGAAAACATAGATAGACAAACGCATGCACACACACAGAGGGAGGCTGTGTTGGTAGAAGTTAACACTCTTTAACTACTTATGCAGGCTGCTTTGAGTACATTGTTACTCATTATTTACAACTGTTCTGACCAAGTTCTCACTACTAGGGAAAGAAGAGTGGCCAAATCTAGAGAAGCTGCAGCTAGAAGTGCAAAGAAAACTGCAAATGCACGCCAAAGGTGGAAATTAGCTAAAGATGCTGCTAAAAAGGGTGCAACAGGGCTGCAAACTCAACTATCGCGCACATTCTCCCGTAAGAAAGATGCAGCATATGTGGAAAAAGTTAAAATTTTGAATCAAACAACTGAAGCAGATGTTGAATTGTTGCCTCATTCACTACCTATTACTTCAAGCATGGTTGCAAGCTCATCTGCTATGCCAAAAGAAAAGGGAAAAGAACCCAGTGGTCTAATGGAGATAATACATGAAATTGAAAATGATCCAGATATTAATGACAACCTAAATACAGAAATAAAAACAGGAGATAAAAATGTTACAGCAAATGTGTCAAAGGGAAAACAACCACATACTCATAGTCAAATTTTTAAATATGCATATGCTCAACTTGAAAAAGAAAAGGCTCAGCAACAAGAAAACAAGAAACTTTCCTTCTCAGGAGTAATTAAAATGGCTACAAACACTGAAAAAAGGAAACGGCCTTTAATTGAGATTTCTTTCAAGGATTTGACTCTTACATTGAAAGCTCAAAACAAACATATATTGAGATATGTTACTGGGAAAATTAAACCAGGCCGCATCACTGCTGTCATGGGTCCATCAGGAGCTGGGAAGACAACATTTCTTTCAGCTCTAGCAGGAAAGGCATTTGGATGCTTGGTCACTGGTTCAATTCTTATAAACGGAAGGAATGAATCAATCCACTCCTTTAAGAAAATTACTGGCTTTGTGCCACAAGATGATGTGGTTCATGGAAACCTGACAGTGGAAGAAAATCTCTGGTTCAGTGCACAGTGCAGGTATACTACATTGTTGGACATTTTAATTGTATTATATTCTAAAGTGTTCAATTGTTCACTATCTTCACTCAAGTTAATGCACTTGCATTTGGCTGGCATTCTTGAATATACTTCTAAGTTCTAAGCATGATTGGAATTTAATGCAATTCTGTATCATAATATAATTCAAATGGAATATTCAAGTCATCAAATAGACTTTTAAATTTTCTCTTCATACTTTAATTTTAGATACTCTGGCAAGAAAAAATACTTTTGAATATCTTATCATCATCGTCATTGATGAGGTGTTTACCCGCTATACCAGTTTTTGTCTTGAGCCTTGCATGCCTTGCATGCCTTGCATGCCTTGCTGATCTCTTCTAATACTTGTACATATGATAATGCTGATCTTTGTATATGTGCTAATTCAAATGGATTTTTGTAAAAGGCTATCTGCTGATTTGTCAAAACCAGAAAAAGTTCTGGTTGTTGAAAGAGTTATTGAATTCTTGGGGCTTCAATCTGTGAGGAATTGCTTGGTTGGAACTGTGGAAAAGCGAGGGATCTCTGGAGGACAAAGGAAGCGCGTAAATGTTGGATTGGAAATGGTTATGGAACCTTCACTCTTGATCTTGGATGAACCCACATCTGGCTTGGACAGTGCATCATCTCAGCTCCTTCTAAGAGCACTGAGACGTGAAGCTCTTGAGGGAGTGAACATTTGCATGGTGGTTCACCAACCAAGGTCAATTTTATTGTCTTATTATGGTACATATTCCTTTTTGAATGCTCCTTGTTGGATCCCTGCATGGGAAACCATTTTGAAGACTCATCTCATATTCCATGTGTTAACTTGGATTTGTTAAACATTAAATTACTTTTCCTTTGATTTATTAACGATAACTTTCTGCTTCAGCTATGCTTTGTTCAAGATGTTTGATGACCTGATACTTCTGGGAAAAGGTGGTCTTACTGTCTATCATGGATCTTCCAAGAAAGTTGAAGAATACTTTTCAGGACTAGGGATCAACATTCCGGAGCGGATTAATCCTCCAGATTATTTCATTGACATTTTGGAGGGCATAGCAGCACCTGGTGGAAGCTCAGGACTCAGTTATAAAGACCTGCCAGTTAGATGGATGCTTCATAATGGATATCCAATACCTCTTGATATGAGACAGAATGCAGCACAATTTGATATGTCTCAAAGTGTAAATTCAGCTGATGAAATAGATTCCATTGGATCTGTTTATGTGGAAAAAACCTTTGCTGGAGAATTATGGCAAGATATGAGAAATAATGTGGAACTGAGGGGGGAGAAGATAAGACTTAATTTTTTTAAATCCAAGGATTTATCTAACAGGAAAACTCCTGGGATATTCAAGCAATATAAGTACTTTCTTATACGGTAAACTATCTAATGACCTCAATTTTTTCGCTAACTTGGAAGTCTCTGTTTTTTCTGATTGCTTGTTAAAATCTTCCTTGAGATGGGTTAATTTTTCCCTGGAGGATTACTAATTGCTTGTTTCAGTAGTTATTGTTTTGAAAGTGTAGCATGAACTGGACTTTGTTAATGCTGGAGATTCAATAATTACATTTCTTTCTATGACTTTATCGTGGTCCAAGGTTCTGTATGTTATAAGGGAAGTATGAAAGGAAAAATACAAATAAAATACTTTTTCTAATCATATGACGGTCAATTTCCTCATCATTTGCTTCTTCCTATTCCTTTTATTTTGGAAAAGGAAGCCAAAATCAATGTCAATATTTTAAAACAATATAACTAACTATAAAGGGAAACGAAAGTAGAACTTACCGCTGCTAATTATGTCAGAGTATTTGCTGAATGTATTTATAATTTATGTTCTCATACGCCATTTAGTGTTGTAATCCGCTACAGGGTAAACATTAGCTTATAAACTTCTGATAGAGCACATGTCTGTGCAATTGCTTTTGTTAGTTTCTGGTACTTACTCCATAGCAATGTTATTTCAGGGTTGGGAAGCAGCGATTACGAGAAGCTAGGATACAAGCCATAGATTATCTTATTTTGTTACTTGCTGGAGCCTGCTTAGGATCCCTTACCAAAGCAAGTGACCAAACATTTGGTGCAGCTGGGTACACCTATACGGTGATTGCTGTATGTAAGTTATGTAAAAATCATTGCAAATAGTCTACCACTCTACCCAACATTCATGTGGACAATGCTTGATTCTTATCTATTGTTGTGAATTTCAGCTCTTCTGTGCAAAATAGCAGCCTTGAGATCATTTTCTCTAGATAAATTACACTACTGGAGGGAGAGTGAATCTGGCATGAGCAGCTTGGCTTATTTTCTCTCTAAAGATACGATTGATCATTTTAATACAATTATCAAGCCCGTGGTATACCTTTCTATGTTCTATTTCTTCACCAATCCAAGATCAACTTTTGCTGATAATTATGTTGTGCTGCTTTGTCTTGTATACTGCGTCACTGGCATAGCATATGCATTGTCAATACTTTTTGAATCTGGTGCAGCCCAGCTGGTGAGTATAAGCAGACAGAAAAACCTTTACCAACCCCACGTTTGGTATATACTCATCACTATGTTTTCATTTCAATACTAATATGTTTCTGTTTCTTGCAGTGGTCAGTACTTCTTCCTGTTGTTTTGACTCTCATTGCAACACAACCAAAAGATAGTAAAATTTTGAAGGATATAGCTAACTTGTGCTACTCTAAGTGGGCTTTACAAGCATTCGTTGTTGCAAATGCTGAAAGGTAATTTGTCCAGGATGATTAATGATATACTGAATTATTAAATAATGGATTTTGACCACATTGAGCAATGAGGATGACTGCAATAAAAAGCACAGACATTGGTTAACATTTGATGGGCTTATTAAGTTGTTTTCATATATCTGAAAATTTATTATCAGTGTTGATGTGAAAAATACAAAAATAAAGAGAACAAGAAAGAATGATAAACAATTCAGACATTAGACTGTTAGTTAATTGTTAACAGTCATTCATATGAAGCTGGATACTGAACATGCTATTAATTGCTTTTATACTGCAGGTATGAGGGAGTCTGGCTCATAACTCGTTGTGGTTCCCTTCTGAAAAGTGGCTATAATCTTCATAATTGGAGTTTGTGCATATCCATCCTCATTCTTATGGGTGTAATTGGCCGGGCAATAGCTTTTTTTTGTATGATCACCTTCCGAAAGAAGTGAGGCCAAACTTAAAGCTACCCAAATTTTACGTTTCACAAATTTGAGTTGTACAAATTGGAGTACATAATAGGAATTATTACATTAGGATTCTCGTGATTTGAAGAATGTCGGATAAATTTTTTGGAGCTAAAATTGGTTAATATTGACCTAAATATGCAAGTTACGGTTAACATCATGATGTTAGATGTGATAAATTCAGCTTCAACAAAATCGAACCTTAAGATCCAAGTGTAGCCCAAAAAAAATAGCGGTGAGAACTAAAATAGTAAAGACACAGATACTGAATCAAGAAATTTACAATGATAATATTTATAATGTGAGGAAAAAAAAAAGATTTTCTGGTTTTTCGAAACTCTAGCTTTGTAAATATTGAAAGCCGGGGCCTCTTTAAGGACTGCCAGCACCGATTCTGAAATATCAGCTGCTTCACTATATAAATCTGATACGCCTTAATCTCATGCCGTGAGTCTATGTTTCAACTGCCAGCTTCAGTAAATTGCTAAATTAACCTAACAATATTAAAACCAAGAAATTCTAACTTCAGCATAAATATAAATGGTCTGATCTTATTATGGCTACAAATAATTGTCCAATGACTTAAAAGATAAATAGTACTATAATAAGCTTAAAGGAGCAATTATACTTGAATACCACCATGATAACATATTACCTAATCATTATTTGAGCATCTGTGCGATGGTCATTTCCAAATCATGTCACCCAGAAATCTTAGAGCTGGAACGCCTCTTATTTCAACATCAACAAGTGGTGCCTGGATCAGCACTAAACTAGAGAGTTCTGGATCATTCTGAATTATATCAAGGGCACGCATTTGATCCTGAAAAATGTTTACAGTGAGTTTTCACCTTTCAAATAAAAATAAACAGCACATGCGAGAGCCCACCCCCTTCTCAAGCTTTGAAGTTCTAGTTTGATATAAACAGCCAGCTATTACTTGTCTCGCTTATAGCAACATTATTATTAATTGAATTACATTTTAGTTTCCCATTCAGATTAAACCCACGCAAAAATAGAGAGTACACAGTCAAGGTACCTTTCTTTTCACAGCACAAAACTTGCAATCGGATGCAGATGGTGGAAGAATCTGATTGACAATTAGTCTCTTCACAGGAACATTTTCCTTCTTCAAGGAAGCACTCAATCTGGAGGACTCACTAACTGCCATGACCTTAGAAAGTAAAGACACAAATGATTAAGAACTACATAATGAAGCTATCTATCATTCGGTTAGTAAACGACAGCGACAAAAGTCTTTTTCCACTGAGTGAGATTGGCTACATAAATCAAACAGGACATTGTGTTCCATCAAAAAGCACACTGATAAGGCAGATTCCTTTTTTCCATTAAATGATTTAGCCGAATCTTATAGTGAAAGTAAATTTGGCAAAAAGATTAAGTCTGCTTCCGCTGTATACAGGAAATCACTGAGCTCAAGAGCAACTATAGATGCGTTTTTACTCCTATTCGCCCCTACACATGCCCAGTTCAATACACTTCTTTCTTTCAATTATTTTCCTCTCCTTGATTCTTTTCTTCTTTGTCAAAAGGTAAAAACCCAAAACCCTATAATTTTGCCTGGTTTCATTTTTGTTACTTGTAAAATTTTGATTCCCCTCAAAGTCTTATTCTTTTTGTACTCAACCCCAGAGCTTTTGTCCAGCACACAAATCTTCCTTCAAATTTGAAATTTCTTTTCTTTAAATAGGAAAAATTTACACACCCGTGGATTGTTAGTGGACAGCGGGAGGAGAAGGCGCTGAAAAGTGTGGGGGTGGGACTTCATAATTTCACATAAAGGAACATGTTATAATGGTAATTAGATAAATCATTCACAGAATGGAAGGGTTGGTGATACTACATTACAGGTCAATTCACCATTATATGCACCCGTTGTTCAAATATTATTCAGTTAGGGTACACATTTCCTCGCCATACCGTGGGGATTGTAACAATGACAAATTCTGTCGAATCAGTGTCACGAAAGAGCTCACGCACTTTTATCATCCTCTCCCTTAGCTTCTCCAATTTGTCAGCCTGCACCATCAAGATACAACAACCGCAATATCTTACAGCATATTAAGATGAACCTACATGCAACACTAGCCCCAGGTATAAATCTTACCGCATCTGGTTGAGTTCCTTCTTGCCCAAACACGGATTTAATTGCTGAGGTAGCAGAAGCTATCTTTTGTCTTAGCTGCAGCACAAAAATTGGCATCAATTACTGTAAGGATCCCTCTGAGATCGGAACTTGGGAAGGGAGTGGGGTCTGGTGATGGAGATGGGGGGAAGAGAGACCCTGGATGATGTCCTAACTTTTCACTCAGTAGAAGGAATATTAAATACAATTAACCATTTGTGAAGCATTGCATGCATAGAAATTTTGTTCATTTGTCAGTAAACCTTTTATTAAATCTCACTGAGTCAAGCATTTTTATGTAATGCTTGTCCAGACACAGATTTGTTAATATACAAGCATCAACAATTTAATATTCTGTCTGCTTCTTGCCAGATGTCATGTCAAGTATAAAGAGTTTTGAATCATTAATGAAAAAGATACAACAGAAGACAAGTCTTATCCCACTATGCGATGTTGTCTGCATGGATTATACAACACCATTAAACTTGGTCAAAAACTAAATTTTCATAAATCTAATTAATCAAAAGGTTTCTTTCAATAACTTTATTTATGGTTCTTTTGGGTGTCTTTCAACTCTTTTTTTACTGGACTAAAAGTCATTACCAATATTCCATGAACCAAAGGCAGGGTGGCTGAGTTATTTGCATTCAGTGCTTATAGCTCCAGGAACATAATCGTTTTATTTGAAACAATATCTCAGGCACTGCATAGGATATTAAGTCCAGTATTTTATCCATTCGCTTCTAAAGGAAGTGAATCAATTGTAATTCACATAAGGAATGAGTGTTTGTGTGTGTTGGGGGTAGGGGATGGGTTATTTTATCATAACTAGTAATCTTACCTTCAGTATCTTACCGATGGATGCATCCAAGAAATCAGGCAAGGACAACAATCGTAGTGTATGGCCCTGTTCAGGAATATGCATAAATCCTATCAGATAATGTCCAAAAACAAAGGGGATGTGACATATATATACATTATCTTTAGCTCACCGTAGGTGCTGTATCAAATACTATTCGAGTAAACATGCTATATTCCTGTGATTCAAGAAATTGCATAACCTGGCAAGAGGTTTTAAATTGTTAGAAGAGCACAAAAAACAGTTTATGGTATGAATAATTAGCAACGTAACAAATTATTATGGCACATAAAAAAAAAAGCATGCCTTGGCAATCGCAATAGCTTCATCCAGTCCAGGAGGGGGTGTATCCAGTAATTCTCCCAGTTTGAGCTCTCCCAACTATGTCAACCAAAAGATTAAACAACCCATCTTAGAAAAGCAGGCTTATAGTGGAGCAAAACCAATTATCTTCCAGCATTTCCTAGTTATAATGGTAATCTTGCATAACAAAATTCTATAAAAATTAAAACAGCTAGAGGTATGCAGTCGAGTGGTAAATAAAAGCATATTATATGTTAGTTTCAACATGATTTTATGGAGTAGAAACAAACTTGTTAAATAGAGTTTGTTAAATACTGATTCTAACAGAAGTTATTATTGTTTTCAGATTGATTTTGATTTACAGTGCTCTTGACCTGTCCTAACCCTCTGTATGTGTGTGGCACTTTTTTCCCTTTTTATTCTTTAGTACTTATAAAGAATAGGTTGTTTATCTTATTTATTTCATTGAGACATTGTACAAATAAATACAGCAGCCTGCAATATTTTAGGAAAAATAATAACTTCCTATTCCATTCTAGGATCCCTTGAATCATAGATTCTTTCCTAATTATACATTATACATAGCTGTACAAATAACAAATAAAATAGAATAAATCTCCTAAATTATTTTTTCCTAAATAACTCGGTTTCCCACAGTACTTAATGTCTAAATTAATCAGCTCTTCAAAGTTAATCTGGCTAAGAGGAGTTTTCATTTCAAAGATGTATGACATACAGCATGCCAATATCATGGCAGGTTGATAGCATATGAAACTATAGTTCTAATAGAAAATTTCTGCCTTTAAGAAAATTCATCAAACTATAAAATTCACATCACAAATATCCCCTTAGAAAAAATACATAACCAGAAATGCTGATGATAACATTGCAATAAAGCTTTACCTGGTCTACAATCATTCCAAGTCCCATGCCATCCATGAAGTCTTTGACACCAGTTCCACCATTTTTTTTAGTGGCATTTCGAAACTCTTCCCTAGCGTTCTCAGGGTTTATCTGCATAGGAAGTAAGGAGCTAAAAACTTAAGTAAAATAAGCAGGGACTGGTTTCGCATATTCTCATAAAAATATCAATCATCTCATCAAACAAATTAGATGCTAAATATCAGCTAATCTATTCTACAGCAATGGCAGCTTACTTCGAGAGCAAAAAGTGGATAATCAGGTCCTTCCACTGGCACCAATGTGCCTCCTGTCAAATCCTAGAATACAATAGGCAAAACTTGTGTTACGCTTACGGACAGCACAATACAACCAGATTTTGAAACAGCTAGTGTGCACGCATCATTAGAACTACAAGGAATGCAATCAACCTGAGCAAAAGAATCACTCAAAGAATGCGCAGGATCAGTGGAAACCACAAGAGTGGGGTGTCCATTATTGGCAAATTTAACAGCAAGAGAAGCAGCACAGCTTGTCTTCCCTACCCCCCCTTTCCCACCAAGCATGTAGTACTTCCTCTCAGTGCCAGAAACCATGTCATCAAACCCTGACACAGCTTCTGTGGGAGAAGCCACCGATCTCACTGACAACAAGAAAAGGTAGCAACCACAAAAATGTGTTAAAAAATACTCAATAGGTGTCTCAAAAGCACAAATTGTTTAAGCAAAGCACTCCCTTTTTTACCTTAAAGCATGCACTGCCACATCAGACAATCTCAAATTCAAAGCAAAAACTACAATCTATATTTCCTACGAAAGCAATAAAATGGATAAACAGCATCATCATTCATACACTACACAGTTGGACTAAACTGTGGTCCACTCTAAACTAGTAATATAAAAGTATACTGAACCTACTACCCATTTGATTAAAAATGAGATTACTGCACAAAAGATTATCAGAAAAATCACTAACATATATCCTCTTTCCTTTACTTAACTTACTTCCCCATTCTATACCTCCTTATCAATTTCTAATAACTTGTTAGCTTCTCTTATCCACATTACTTAACTAAATGAATAAAAAAAAAAATAACAAATCAATTAATGGCCATACACACAAAATAAATAAATAAATAAATAAAAATACTGGGCTAGGCTCATTCAGTTTTTAATACACCAACGGCAGCAAGTGACAATTCCAACAATATAATATAAGCACACGAGACAGAATAGATAACAGAATCACAAAAAAAAAAAAAAAAAAAAAAGATATATTTGATTAGTAAACTAAGGAAACCTTGAAATGACTTAGTGGGGGGTTTAGTGGAAGCACGAAACGTAACAAAGGTGAAGGCTTTAGTGAGACGATGGAACAGAGGTGGGGTGGGTGCGAAGGAAAGGACACCCTTCATGGCCATTGAATTTGTTATTCGAAGAGAAGATGAAATAACAGAGTGACACGCCATTCCTCTTACTACTTCGATTCTTCTAATCCTATTCCTTTTCTACCCACTTCGCCTATGGTTCTCACTTTGGTTTCGTTTAACTCTCTTTCACTCTCTCTTACGCCGCCTCGAGGGGTTCGGTTTTTTTTTTTTTCTTTTCTTTTCAAAATAATGGGTTAAAAACATGTAATTACTTATTTTTTCCTTTCTTGGCACAATGGACATAAACGAGAAAAGGAAGAAAACTTGTCATTATACATTTATATATAAATATAACATCATATGCACGTAAATACGTTTTTTTGTTTGATTGAAATCTAGCGATGGAAACAAAAAGAAAAAATGTAGCAATATTTATTAATAAAATGAAGTATCTATTGTGTCAAAATACAAATATATATATATATATATATATGTGTGTGTGTGTTTTTAAAACAATGAAAAGTACTTCATAAGATATACTAAAGTCTAAGCTAAGGTAATCTTTCATTTTCTAAATTTACTTTCAAAATAAATATCATTTACACATATATTCTTTATAAGCTCAACGTTTACTTAATTATTGTATAGCAAATATTAAACATTGTGCTAGAAATACTGATTAAGAATACAATAATAATAATAATAATAATAATAAAGAAAATGTTTGTGATATTAAAACCCAAAAAATCATTTTATCTTTGTTTTTTAAGTAGTTGAAAACATTCAATGAGATTATTCAAACACTCCTTAAGGAATGTGCTTGAAGCACTCTTATTCTAATTATACAATTACAAAATCTTTCAGTTGTACAAAAAATTAATTTTCATGAAAGAAAAGGCAAAAATGCAAATAAAAGAAAATAACATAATGAAAGATTCCCCTATTCATTATCCATGCTCCCCCTCCTGAAATCTCAGTTATGTGCAAATTCTGGCTGTTATATTTTAAAAACGGCAATACACTTTCTCAGTTTTCTTACAGTGGTATATTTTGAGCTTGATTGGTTTACCGTTCCCATATTAGGAATTGATTAAGGATGCCAAAATTAACGGTTGCAGTAAATAGAGGACGATTTACAAAACATGTTCAATGGCATTGGTTATTTTCTGATTCTGTGGAAATCGATTCCAACAATTACATAAACAAACTCTTAGCATAACTCTTCTACGTCAATAAGCACAATTCATTAGCATAACTATCCTTTCTCTAGCTTTCTCAGCTGAAAGCAAACAATCTATCAACAATTTAAGCTAGCTATCAACAATTTAAGCTAGCTACTCTCACATATGTAATATATGTGCATAGACAAGTTACACAAGTCTACCCAAACTGAATACATGAGATCACAATGTAAAATATGATAAGGGGTCGGCATAATCCCTTGAGTAGTAAGAGTAGCTAGACAATGGTATGATGATTTAATGATGCAAGGAAATTTCATGATCGAAGAACAGACATGACACAATCTATTACCAAAGTTGTTTCCTCCAGAACCTCACATCCCAACTTATTATTCCTCTGTGGCTACTGTTTACACAAGATCTCAAAGGCATTCCATTCCTTCATCAGGCACCAAAAATAATTAATGAAGAAAACAGTACATTAATATGTCACTTTTGAATGAGGATAATCAAGAAAACAGCAACTATTGTTACACTCCCTTGCCCTTCCAAACTCTCAGTGATATACCCTAATGGAACCATATATTTGGTCAAATTGTACATTTCAAGGTTTTCTTCCAGCTATATCTTCCAATGTTAGATTCAGTGTATCAACTGAACCTCTTTTAACTTCTTCTCCACGAGAAGCCAGGAAGTCCTCAATGCTACCTGGTTCACCAAACCACCCAAGGTGATCTGCAATCAAGTGAAGATTATTACACCCCCCACATCTGGCTACCACTACACCTTTCTCATACGATTGGCGACAAACTGTCTTAATGGATCTCGTTTCACAGACCTTGCAGGTAAAAACCATAGCAAGATCATGCCTTGAGGATGTTTTCAAACTGGAATGGGCAGAAAACTTTACTGCAGAGTTCTCATTAATGCTAATGGATGTAGGAACATTATCTGGGTTTAGACTTGATTTTAAGGTAGCGTCTTCCTTATTTTCTACATCTTCACTAACATGTTTGATTGGAGTTGTATGTGTGGTGACCCCTCTTTGATGAAATCCATATCTGTTTAATATTGCACTGGCAGGAGAATACCGAGAGGACCCTGCCAATAAACAACATTTCACGTATCAATAAGAAAAATTTACACACACGTGGGAATGCACAAAGAGAGAAGAAGAGAGAACTAGACACCTCTTCATTGTTTTTTAAAATACACAGAGTCCCACATGTTCGAGGGAAAAATCAATGGTTGAGATTAATTTGGAATTTGGATATAAATAACAATTACGCTCAACAATTCAAAATCAATTATATTCAACAATAAAACAAACAGGTAACGAGTTTCAAGCTCTTAAAATCTTCAAAGCGAAAAAAGAATGAAAATTACAACTTTAACAAGACGATAGAGTATACGTAAGTAAAGTAAACGAAGCCAAAGTGTTAAACCATGAGATCAAAATATGGAACTAAAGGCATGAAGAATCCCTAAGAGGAATTATCTACAACAACAACAGATACACAAAGGAATAGGAAAATAATGAAGGGTGAGAAGATGGATACCTTGAAGAATGGGATGATGGGTTTGTCCAGAAAAAATAGAGATGAATCGCCTCTGCAACATCCTTGCCGCCATCGCCATTCCCAAACACTCCTACTCTCTCATTTCTTGGGCTTTTCTTCTTTTCTAGGCTACCACTTTTGGGCTTTTCGACTTTCGTTCTCCCCAGGTTTTGCTTCGGCCCGTGGGTATAAAGACTTTTATACTATACTAACAATTTAAAATTAATCTGAAAAAGGAAATGCCCTTAAAAATACAGGACCAAACAAGTTAATGTTGTTAAAGTGATATTTTCAGCATTTTTCAATAACTTTTTTATTTATAAAAAAATACGTTTAAGAACTTTTAGTGTTTGTTTAGGGTTTTCAAAATAATTAACAACTAAAAATAATTAGTTTGAAAAATTGTTTTAAATTTTTTTTGTTGAATGATGAAATTAATAACAATATTTTAAAATAAAAGTGAATTTTATAATTATAAACAAATAAAATATAACTTTTATAGAAGCAGACAGGATAATGAAGTGAACACTCGACAAATTTGGTTTCGCTATATATCAAATTAAGTTATTTTAGCAAAATAATTCATATTTCATAATATAATTTATATGAAAATATTTACCACGTTTGAAAAAAAAAGTTTTAATTTAAAAATTATTCTTGTTAATTTAGTGGATTGAATTCGACAGTGCACTTGACTTTTTCATTGATTTTGACATGATTTGACTACCGTAAAATAGTTTTATATATATATATATATATATATATATATATATATATATTCCATTCTAATTTAATTTATTACCCAATCAATTATCTTATTATTGGATATTAATTGTGTTAAAAAGAAATAGTGAAGAGGATAGTGTCAACATTTCTTCCTCTTTCTACCCTTCACTCTTTTTTTTCTTGCACTTAGTTGTCTTCTTGTATTCGTATATAATATATTTTTTTTGTTTAATGTCAATACAAGGTTAGTATAAACATTTTTATACTATTAATTAAAATTTTATAAATATAAATCATTATAAAAATAAATAATCATTACTGATTTAATAATTTATAATTAAATAATAGTACAAAATTTTATACTGTTAAATTCTTTTTTTTTCATTTTTTTTGACACAAATGTTGCGTAGAGGTGAGGTTGGATCCCACTTTTAATTCTGATATTGCATTCAAATATTCTTCTTCTTTTTTTTACATTTATTATCAAACAGTGTGTGCTTTTAGTTGAATTATGGGCATAATTCTACGAATCCGTCCGATGTTTTTTAATATTTGTATAAAAATTTAAAGAGAATTTATTTGGAAAACAGATAATTACTTTTCTATGAAAAATAAAAGAAATAAGTTTATAAAAAATAGATAAACAAATATTGTAGAAAAACATTAAGAATAAAAATATCAACTAGGAGCTAAAAATACTACAGTATAGACTCAATAGACGTGGAAGAATCAGGGGGCCAAAATTATACCAACGAAAATGATGTTTAGTAGGGAAAATAAATTGATGAAATGCCTATATTTTTCATCAAACAGTAAAAATTACCTTTTTTATTTATTTGACTCACATTCAAGTAATAAAATTCATTCACGTGTATTTATATAAATTTGTACTAAATTTTATTGTATTGAATAACAATGCTCATATAGAAAACTGCATGAGCACAACTGGTAGTGGTGGGAAAGCACGCCCAATATGGTTTGGTTTGAGTGCTCGTGAATTGTCAACCAATACACCAAAAGTCAAGAAAATTTCTTTGTCATCAGCCGTCGCCGCCGTTTTCATTCCCATCGTCCGGTGGATTTCAATTTCAATTCCCATCATTTTTGTTTGGTTGAAAAATTTGACCCTAAGAGCATTTGTTTTTCATCTCCCCCTCCCCTCTCCCCAACACTTTCACTCTATTCTCCTTCAACATTCTCTCTTGGTTTAAACTTTGATTTTATTTTAAGAAAATCATTCTTAAACAACAAATGCTTATTTGAATGGTGGAATGAAATAAAAATAAAAATACAAACAAATATAAGTGAGATGGAAATAAAAGTTAAGTGAATTGTATTTAAATTGACAAGAAAAAAAGAATGAAATTAATCAACTACCCTACCTGTGTTTGGATGATTTCTAACATGATTTAGAATAATTTATTTCAGTTGGTAAATAATCATTTTATCCTTTCATTTATTGTTAGAATGATATTCAACCTATGATCATGTTAAAAATACAAAATTTTAATAATGGAGACGCATGTTTGCTGAATGGGTGTAAGTAACGATAGTAATGACAATAATAAGAAACCTGCTTAAGTTAAATTTAAGAGAAAATATTAAATAATTTTAGCTATACATATCTCATTTGCTTAAGTAAACACGCATGTATATAAAAGCATTTTAAACAAGCATGAATTTGCTTGCTTTGACCAATAGTTATTAGTTAAAGACCAGTGGCGGAATAAGAATAGCTGTTCTATAAAATGGATGAGATGATTATTACTAGCACTACTGAATAATATTACAAGACACTAATGTAATGATGATAGAATCTGAACTTGACTGAAAAATATATCAAGATAACACTTCCAACATCCAATGTATGGTATCTGCGATGGTTCCTTAATTAAGTTGGCTTAACTTGCGTCCAAGAATGATTTTAAGTTTTTCTATTTTAAAATATCTTCTTGACTATTAAATTAAAAAAAATTTACATTTTTAAAATAATAAATAAATACACTTTTATTCAATATTTACTTTACAAAACAATAGAAAATTTATTAAAAAGACAAATAAAAAATACAGCAAAGCGCAATCAAATATTGGTTGAATCTTTCTAGTCTAAGTATCTGACTATTTCCATAGAAAAAAAACTGAAAAGATAAATAAAAAAATATATCAAAGCTCAATCAAATACTGGTAGAATTTTTCTAATCTGATCCTTTATCCTGTATCAACAAAACTTTACACAATTTTGCAACCATAATCCATAAACTAGTATACGTCAATCTCTTGCCACAATCAGTGCTTTGTTTTTTTTGCTAAAAATCAGTGCTTTTTTTTATATACAAAAAAATAAAAATTTAAATAGAATTGAAAAGAATGCAAATAGAAAGAAAACAAAAAAGAACCAAAATACGTATAAACAAACCCAAGAAAAACGTTACCGTGGGGCCAATGAGACAGATAAGTCAATATCAGTTCCCATGTTCTCAGCCCACTTCTTCGATTCCAAGTACAACTTCGACACCTCAATCGAGACCCGACCCATATCCGGTCTCTTATTCGGGTCATCTTCAACACACTCCAACCCGACCCGAATCATTCTCTCTGCCACGTCCATCGGAAACGAATCTCTCAGCCTCTTATCCACCCACTTCCTCGCGCCGCCGTTCTCCTCCACCGCCACCCTCGCCGTCTCCACCACGCTCACCCTCTTGTAACTGCCGTCGTCATCGAATTCGAACCTCACCGCTTCATCCCCGCTCAGAAGCTCCAAAACCACCACTCCGAACGCGTACACGTCGGTCTTCTGCGTCGCCACGCCGGTCACCTGAAATTCCGGCGCCATGTACCCCCTCGTCCCCTCGAACCTCACCGTCCGGCTACCGGACCTATCCAACCTCGCGCCGGAAACCTCTCCGACGGCCTCGCCGCAGAGATCAGATGTGCCGAAGTGGCAGATCTTGGCGCTGAAATTGTCCTCGGCGACGACGATGCTGGAGCTCTTGATGTGGTTGTGAACGAAACCGGAACCGGAGGAATTGTGGATGTAATCGAGGCCGTGGGCGATATCGGATGCGATTTGCATCCTCGAAGTCCAGGTGGAAAGATCGGTGAAGCTAGGGTTCCGCCGATTTCGGAGGCAATCGACGAGGCTAGCGCCAGGGACGAAGTCGTAGACGAGGAAAATGTAGTTGCCGGAAATTGAAGCTCCGAGGAGTTTGACGAGGCTGCTGTGGTGGCTCCGACAGATAAGAGCGAGGCGGTGGCGGAGCTCTGATAGGTCAAACTGGCGGCGAAACTTGCGCTGGAAAACGACGACGTCTCGGTCGCGAATGAAACAACGCCATGAGGAGGAGGAGAGGCGTGGGGTGGACAAATTGGAGGTGGCTGCAGAGATCTCAGAGAAGTTGTAGATATTAGGGTTTTCTGGGAGAGTGTCTTTGAGGCTTGAAAGAGAGGCACGGCTTGAGATGGAAGATGATTTCGACCAGTCTCTGTTTTTGGTGTTGTCGTATACATAGCTTCTTGATTCTGTGATGGGGACATCGCTGGTTGAGGATTCGTAATTGGACGATGAGGATGTTAAGGTTCGTGTTGGTTGAGGATGAGAGTTGTTCGCGTGCATGTTTCTCTTAGTGTTTCTGTTTCTGTTTCTGTTTCTGGGTTCTACCACGCTGGTGCTCTTTTTGGTCCTGCACATCACGCTAACGTGCGCCTTGGAGGGTCATTATTATCCTTTGGCTTTGTTGTTGGGTCATGGCGTCTTTGATGTTGTGTTCTTCTATTCCAACTTGAAGATTGTGTTGTGTTCTTAGGCGGTCGCTTTGATTGCGTTTGTGAGTAAATATTTATAGGTATGACTTCATATATGCTTCACACGTGCCTGCCCCTCATGCTTTCCTCTTTTCCATTAGTGAAAAAGCTTATCGTTTTTTTAATTTAATCTACGTTCATAGTTTCGCGTTCGTGTGTGATTATTGTTTGTGCTTTACATTCCCTTGCGATCAAGTTTCAGCTAAACCGTTGCGTGTGTATCTGTCACGACCACATCCTTAATTGCTTTAACTTACTCCTTTTTCCGTACAAAGCAAAACTTTTGTCGCTTTAGAGAAAACTCTTCTCATCTTGCTTTTTGCTTTCAATCAGCATGTTCTTCTTCTGCTTTTTTTTTTTTTTTTTCTCTTCTCGGTTTTTTTTGCCATAGGGTAGAAATAAAAACAAATTAACAAAGTAGAGTATTGGCAAAATAATTTTTCTATCTAATGTGATATTCCTCACTTTAGTATAACTTAACTAAAATTGGTCTTCAAATTTGATATTTGAAATCTTAATTTTTAAAATTAATAATTATTAATCACATTATTAATTGAATAAAGTTAAAATTAAGTAACAAAATTGATGATTTGTCATATTAAATAATATGTGACACTTTATTAGAGACATAAAATAGTTTTGTTTTAAAATATTTTAAAAATAATTTATTTTCATCCATATTTTTTGATATTTTTGAGTAATAAATTTCATTCTTGTTTTTGGTGTTTTTTTTATTACATCTTTCTTTTTTCTCTTGGCTATTGCTGCAATAAACTATCAAATATAAGAATGATAAAACTAGTATTTTTGATAAAAAATTTATAAAAAAAAACTATAACAATCTCTTTCTTGTTCGCCTCAAAGAGGTTATGAATTACAAAAAAAAATATTATAAGGAGATATAAGAGTTTCACAAACAGTAAATTTAGAGACACTAGGAAAATCAAAGAGTTTTAAGGTGACAACTCTACCATTGGTCTTAAGAAGAAATTGATCAACATGATTGTACTAAATAAATAATTTTTCTATTTGCAATAGAGAAACTCCAAAATAACCTAACTAGCATTGTGACCAATAATTGCATAACTCTAAGAACCTATACAGTCAAAATACTCAATATACTCATTATCGTACATATAAGACTCTTTTACTAAATCGATCACAATTAGTTGTCCATTGATAGACGATGCCGAGTTTCTATCAAAACAACTAAGTTTTTTTAAAGATTTTATAGTATAGACCCAAACCTAAGTCGATTCACAGAGATACATTCTCAATCAAATTCAATTTTAGGTTTTCTTTTAAAAAATGCAAATAAATTTTTTTGAGTTTTCAAAATTACAAAATAATCGAATTGAATTACGAACAAAATAAAATTGAGTAAAAATGAATTAAGAAACATCATTCCACATAATATCAAATGCGTACAACTTCAACTATCACAGTATCTAAAAATTTAAATTCGAGTTTGAACAATTACCCAATTCAATTATTAATTCAATTGAATAACTTAATTGAACATAGTTATAAATTAAATAAAATAATCATTTAATCTAATCCACATTAATTATCAAATCAAACATCAATCAAGTCTTAATTTAAATTCTAACAACATAAAAGTTAATCACAATTGCAATACTTAATTCTGAGATTAGAGAGAGAAAAAGAACAAACTTAGAACAATTTAGTGCATAATTCAAGTCAGAATAGCGTTTAGATTCTGCAGATTGAACAAGAAATTTAGCCTTCCATCGAATCATTTAAATCAAGTTGGAATAGCATTTGGATTCTGCGGATTGAACGATAAGTTTAGCCTTTCATCGAAACATTTAACTCACACAAGTATGAGAAAAAGAACGAGAACATTCGAGAGAAAGTAAAAGCAATGATTATTATTTCGGCAAAGTTTCAAAATTTTAATATTTTCTCTAAATCAGAACCTTATTAGTCTATTTATAAGTTCTGATTAGAGTAAACTAAATAGCCAAAATTCAGGCTTTAATTATAACTACAAACCCAAATACAATTATCTAATAACAAAAAGTCTAAATACAATCTCGCAACAATATTCAACAAATTTGTCTCAACTTCAAAAAATAATAAGAAATTGAATCAACTCCAAATCCAACGATCCATATATATTTTGAAGCCTTAAATGTGTAGAATCTAATGCAACTGGAATCAGTCAAAAATGATATTTGTAGAAAATTTATGACCGAAAAAGTAATAAGTGATCAGACTTACCAAAAAATACGAAATTAAAACATTTATTTGCAATAGGTCAAATTTATTCTAATAAGTAAAAAATAGTAAAAATTCTAAAAATAAAACATATTAAAAGTGTTTATAAACCAAAATAAAATTATAAATATAAACTTAAAATATGTCACATCATTAACTCATAGATTTGAGACTTTGATCTTGTGATGCAATTAAAAAAACTTAAGATAAAAGACTTGTGTAGCATAAATGTCATTATAGTAATAGTTAGAGAGAAGAAATAAGATGTCTAAAAATATTAAAAGTTAAGGATAAAAAATAAATTATTTTTAAAAAATTTTAAAATAATATTATTTTGTATCGAGAATAAATTATCACGTATTAATTTAATATGACAGATCATCACACTATTGCTACGCGTTAATTTAGGCCCAAAATGTGTTACCAGTGGAGTCACTAAAAATGCAAAACCTCTTTTTTTTTTTTTTACAATATTCAAGCAAAAAATTAAGACAAAGAGGAAGAACAAAGACGAAGGAGAAGGAAAAAGTTAAGGCCAATGCGTAACCATTCAAGCACATGCCATGTGGAGCAATCGTGACAGTATCATTCCATGACAATGCTGATGTTGCTATCATCTCTGACACACCCAACACTCACAAAATTTTGTCACATAATATCATCAAACCATGATCGATGATAGAACTTAATTATTTTTAAAATTTTATATACTATTTTTCACGTGAGATGCATCTTTCAAAAATAAATATTACCAAATTTGAAAATAGTACTTATTTAAAAAATAATAAAAAATTAAGTGACGTCACTTACTTGAATGATACTTATGCCACATGAAAAGTTTTCCTTTAGATAGAGAAAATGTTTTTAAACTTCTATTTTATTTTATTTTTAAATTTTATATAGGCAAATTACCTTGTCTTCTCCTAATATTTTTTGTCAGAATATTGCAAGCACTGAGGGCCCAGGAAAACAAGAGCCCAGGCCCAAAGAAACAAAAACTGCCAGAACATGTAGCATGTAGCACTTCTTGGAGAAGATGAAACAGGGCAAAGATACACCAATATGCAGAGGCCCATTAGAAATTCCAAATAGTAATGATGCTGTAAGTCCTACTAGTATCTTTGTTATTTGAACTACGTCAACTCTATAGCTCATTAGCTCACAACCTGATTACTGGGCCTTCACATTTGAAGTTTTGCTTCTCAAAAATAAAAGCTAGAAGTTTTGAAGATTACATTTTGCACTATCTGTTTTTCTAGCAGAATTACCTCTTTCTTTTTGTTTTTTCATCATTCAAATTTAAAAATATATCTTAGATGTTTCAGAAGACACTACAACTAGTATGTTGTTTTTTTTGTCACCTGCTAAGTTCTTTTAAGCAAATATCTTCTTTTTTTTTTTTTTAAATGTATCACCTGCTAAGTTCTTTTAAGATGTATTAACCATTTAATATTATATGTATATCTGCAATAAAATAAAAATTTATAACATATAACTAATTTTATTTGTTTTAATGAAATTTTTATTTGTTGCTTATAAATAGGCCGGTGTGTAAAATTGTTTTGAATACTTAAGTTCTAGAATATATTAAATATGCTTTCAAATTATGAAAAGAATAATGTAAAATTATAGTTTGGTTTTCTTATCCCTGATAGTAACATTTTTTAATATTACTTTGAGGGAAAAAAAACTTTTCCCCAGGTATTTAACACAAATGCATGAAATTTAAGACATGCACGTATTTTAATACTCACAGACAGAAAAAGAGAGTAAGAAAAGCATGCACGTATTTTTATTAATTCTTAAGGAGTGTTTAGATATGCTGTTTATGTGGTCTTATTTACAAATTCCTTAATTTAAATACTTGGAATTATTAATTAGGACTCATATTATTTTTTTAAACAAATTAGATTCATTTCATTGAGTAAAATGTGGAAATAGATTCATGTCATTGAAAATTGAAATTAATAATATTTTGTAACGAAGAGTTGATGAATAAGGAAAAATTATAGTTTCTCTATTAAAGTCAATGCCGTAGTTCAACGAGACTTTTGGTTTGTAGATTTTCATATATTTTATTTTTTCATTTTCTTACCGATAATAACGCTGCATATTGTCACCACATTATCCTTATCCTCACTTTATCTTAGTATTCGTTTGTTTTACAGTAAAATAATATAAACTAGTTAGTTAATAGTACGTATTTTATTTATATACAAAGAGAGTGTGAGAAAGAGATTGAGGTTATTTTTGATAAATTTTTAAAGAAATATTTATAATACACAAAGGTTAGAATAAAAATTGAACAAAATTTATTTTATAAATTAAAAATAACTTGTTTCTTTAAATTTTTAAAAAATTAATTTAAATAATTTCTCAAAAAAAGTTATTGAGAAAATTCATTCAATTTTTATACTAACACGACTTATTTCAAAATTTACCTAAATTGGTTATGGTAAATTATTTTTAACAATAATTTTTAATTTTTTTTAACTGAACTGTATAACCACGACATATAAAATTATTTTATAAATAAAAAGTAAGTATTTTAAAAAATATATAAAAATTTGTATAAAATAATAAAAAATTAAACAATAATTTTTATCTTCAAAATATAGAATAGAATTAAAAAGAAAGTAAATAAAAATTGAATATGCTGCAATAAGAGAGTATGTAATTCACACACTTAAGTTCATTTTAATTCTGTAAAATTTATGTGTGATATTTTTTTTATTAAAAATAACAAAATATTACTATATAAATAATATTAAATAATATAATTTTTAATAAAAAAATTTAATTTTGATATATGCCCTTAAATCTTTATTAAAAAATAAATTATAATTTTTGCTGTTTATAAGTTTTTCAACTTATTTTCAAAACGATAGACACGTTGACTTGGTCCAATTCCCTTCCTCCATTGGGTTTTGGGTGTTGTTTTCTTCCCATGCATTTGCATGCAAAATGTCTGAGACTCCAAAATCAGTACACGTGATGACTTCTAATACTATCATCTCTTCGCTTAAAAAAACAAAATTATTGAATTGTTTTCTATTTTCTTTCCGTTCAGTGCACGCTTGTGTCTAATTTTTTCTTAATGCATGCTTTCACAGTGTATGAACCTCGTGCACCTTAAAAGAAAAACTTTAATAATAATAATAACTATAGGATATCATTGTTAATATCACTTTCACAATAGTTTATTATGTTAGTTAAGATGGTGTTCTTTGAACTTATTTTTATAAAGATTGCTAAACAATTAATTTATTCTATTTTTATATGTATTTTAAAAAAAATTTACATTACATCTTGAAAAAGAAGAAATGTAAAGCCCCTAAACCCTAAACTAATCAAGTTAGATAATAATTAATTTTTTTTATCTGTTGTTTAATTTACCACATTTTTTTGGTTATATGTGGCTTTCTTGTGTTATGCATTGACTTATATAAAGCATTATCATCTCTTGTAATTATAGAGTTAATTAATATATACATTGTTTTAGTTCTTCAATCTCTCTCTCAATTTCTTTTCTCTCTTTCTTTTTCTTTATATTTTTGCTGCAACTCTGATATTCTTTAAGGAATATATCTAAAAATAAATTAATAAATAAATAATGTGTATCATTAAAAATATTATTATGTAAGTTATATTTTGCTTGAGAGGATTAATTAATTTATTCCTTTAAATTAGGGAAAAAAAGTATATAATTCCTAATTTTAATAAATTTTAATTTGTTTATAAGCAATCAATTTGATTTTTAAAGTTACAACTCATTAAAAGTTAAATTGATCGATTTGAAATAAATGTCACTAAAAGTTTTATGTAATAAATAAATAAATAATGGGTATAATATTTTTACAAATTGTGTGACTTAAATTATTAACCAAAAAGTAAAATATTTTTATTAATTAAAATATTTGTTATTTTTTAAAATTTTGATATAAAAATTGAACAATCATTTTGAAATGAAAAAAATAGCCTAAAAAATAATATATATATATATATATTATTTATAATTGTGAATTTTTTAATATTCAATTGGTGAAAAATTAAAATGATTAGCATAAACAATTTTATAAACATAGATTATTTTAGTATAAAAATTATTAATATATTAATATTAAATATTTTGACAATTATTATAATACACTTGTTTTAAATCTTTATTTAATCACAAGAAAAATTATTTTTTTTAATATTTTGTCATTAGTATATAAAATTATATTTTTTTATAATTTATCAAAAATAAAGATACTTCAAATTATTTCAAGAAATAATTTGCATTACTAATAATTTTTTTATGTTCATCATTTATTTGTTATTAATATAAATTAAAAAAATAATTTATTTTAATATTAATTAAGATGTTTATTTCAATTTTTTAAGATATATTTTTCAATTTACTCATAAGAATTAATTAATAATGATAATAGGTTAAGATAGGTGTTGAAGTGTTATGGCTTGACCTATTAAATAAAAAAATCAAGCTTAAATTTGTTTAAAATTTCATACTTAATTGCACTATTAAATTGGTCATCTTGTAGTTTAGTTCATATAATAAATAAAACCCTATTAAATGAACTAACGAAATTAAGATATCAATACTATAATTTATTTCAATAAACTGACCTGCATCTATAAAACATATAAGATATACCAATAATGAACTCCAAAGCAAGAAGTAAAACGTGCCTATATACTTGGAGATTTAACATTCTTAAGAAATATGTATACAAATCTTCCAATTATTTGGCTTTTGGGTGGCACGAGTAGACAGTAGAGTGGTACACAAATTGAGAATTGGCATCCATTACCAACTCTCTATAAATACTTGAAAGATTTGCATAGACTTTGCATCGTATCCTAAACTGCCACTCAATTATCTCAACACAATGGCCATTTCCAACAAACCCCATTCCATAATTCCTCTACTCGCCTTCACAACAATGTTCCTCATGCTACTAAACACAGTGCACTCAGCAAATTCACTCTCTTTCACCTTTGACCAATTTGTTCCCAACCCACAGGATCTAATCCTCCAAGGTGATGCCAAAACTACCAAAGTCTTAGAACTCACCAAGTTAGACGCTAGTGGGGGCCCAGTGAGCGATAGTGTGGGCCGAGCCTTATACTATGCCCCCGTCCATCTCTGGGACAGCTCAGCAGTAGAAGCAAGCTTTAGAACCACTTTTACTTTTACCATTTCATCCACTAATCCAGGTGATGGCCTTGCTTTCTTCATTGCACCAGTTGACACTAGTATTCCTCCTAATTCTCATGGCAAGCTCCTTGGCCTCTTCCCTAACACTAATGTTCTCAAAAACTCCACTTCCTATAACAAAGTTGATTTCAAAGCTTCATCCAACCAAGTTGTTGCTGTTGAGTTTGACTCCTACGTTAATCACTTAATCCTGATATTGGGGATCCTAATTATAAACACATTGGAATTGACGTGAACTCTATCAGGTCTAAGACAACAGCTAGGTGGAACTGGCAAAATGGGAAAGTAGCCACTGCACACATAAGTTATAACTCTGTTGCTAAAAGGCTAAGTGTTGTTACTACTTATCCTGGTAGTGCTCCTGTGGAGCTTTCACATGAAATTGAATTGAACACTGTGCTTCCTGACTGGGTTAGAGTTGGGTTATCTGCTTCTACCGGACAGGCCAAAGAATCAAACACTGTTCTTTCTTGGTCTTTCACTTCAGGGTTGGTCTTGGGGGACACTGTCCAGAATGAGGAGAATATGCTTATTGCAAGCGTTGTGTGATCCATGATCGTTTGAACCAATCGTTTTTCATCTTCTAATGTATCATGTTTATGTTGTTGTTGTGTCAATAAGGGACAAGTACGTGGTATGTACGAGTCCATTGATGTTTAATTACGTACGTGAATGTGACCCTAATTAGGAAATTGAAACGTAGTGCTTATTTTATTGCCCTACATACACGTATCATCTGTTTGCTTCATTTCTCTATTTTGCCTTTGCCTTTAAATAGCTCATAATTATATTATCTAATGTCCCACACCAGTATATATCATGCATATCGATCTCATCAGTTGGTTGTTTTTAAGTTTTGTATAAGTTATATTATTCATGTTGCATTTTTTACAACGCTGTTTTTTTTTAATATAATTCTTTATACCACATCGATTCTCTTATCCTATATTTATTTCTCTCTGCATTCTTATTATTTTCTTGTTGTATAAACGTTACATAAGAATTTAATTTCTTTTTAATATTGGACTAAGACTGGATTCGATTGCTAAATATTTCCTCCATCCTAAAGTAAGCTAACTGTATTATTATTGATCATATAGTTAATAATTTCAAAACAAGTTAAGTATCGTAACTTATAGAAATAAATAATTATATGGTTACATTACTCTTATTTTAAAAGTAAGTTAATTTTATTATTATTAAGTCAACAAGGATATCATCATGAAATTCCCGTTTTATTATTCACCTAACTAATTCTCTATCTTTTCTTGATCAAAATAGTTGACATAAAGTTATTAAATTTTCAATTCCATTAAATTTGACATGGAGTTGTTCACACCACATTAAGCATAAGAGGGTTGGATGGAAAAAAGTTGTAAAAATTAATCAGATTTTTGCCAAAATTTCACTAGACTTAAGGGTTGGATGGGATAAAGTTGTAAAAAATACTAATCAGTGTGTTTTGCTAAAACTTCAGATCAGAAATTAAATCTAGTTAACCAATTTACTTATATACCTAAGGGAGTAGATTACTTGAAATGACACATTTGAAGTGAAAACTGAACAGGATAAAGATGGACAAAAAAATTCAAACAACCTCATGAAAAGCCAATAAAAGGGTTGACAAGCAGTTAGAATATGCAGTAATCTTACTGTTAGGAATGTTAAACCACTGAATTTAGTAGCCAAGGGGAAGTCAAAGAAAGTAATACATACAATCGTTAGGAGCACGTGCCATGTTTCTTACTCTCAGCATTCTTCTCCTCCATAATAAGTAATAACAAATGACGTTAATCCAAAGTAATGTACAGCCACAATGAACATCTATCCAGAAAGATCAAGGACCTATCATTCTATCAATTGCTTCAAAAGAAGCATAAGTGCAGGCAATCAATACAAGTAAGCCATCAGAGATATGACTAACCAACATGATGTAGCACCTCTAATGGAGAGTTTTCCCTCCTTCAGAGGCTGTTGCTAGATCTCAAGTCTAATAATACCAAAGGATAAAAAATTCTCCGAAGTTACCAACTCTAGTTGCCTTCAAATGAATTGGATATTGGGCACCTACAAAACAACCATGCTATCCTAACTTTACAACTTACCAGAATGCTCATGGTCAGACATAACTCTATGTCTCAGTTCTTAAGAATCTAACTGCAAATATGCACATGTTACAAGAACAAAAAATCCCAAATGAATATTATTGTCTCAAGCAGATTTCACATAGTGCCCCGTTTTTCGTCTGTGCCTGCTAAAATCTGATACAAACCTGAAAGAAAGGCCACATCCCTCAACCTTGCATTGATAAGGCTTCTCCCCAGTATGCACCCGTATATGCTCAGTCCGTGCCCATGCCCACTTGAATGACATGGAACAACCTTTCCATGGGCACTTAAGGGGCCTCTCATCATCATGAACACGCTGATGAAGTAGTGCATATTTATGGGAGCTGAACTTCTTACCACATCCTTTATGAGGGCAAAGGTTTCGTCTGTGCAACTGTAGCTCTGCTTTTGTCTTGAAACTCATACGGCAACCATCAAGGTCACAGCTGTGGAGCTTTCTAACATCATCATTTTTATTTTTGCAAGGAACTGAAACTTCAGAAGATCTCCGTGCCCTTTTTGCTACCTGATTTTCCTTGTCAATATCCCCCCCACTTTTGCATGTGGCGGCAATCTTCCCAGTTCTTGGCCTCAGTCCCTCACATGGACTTCTAATAAAGTTGTCACAATCTAATTGGTTCTTTGTTGGATATTCCACTTTCCTCTTGTTTTTCTTTGCAGCATTTGATCTGGGAACTGCTATAGTCAACTCAAACCTTTCCAGCTCCCTACTATCTTGTGACAAATCAACTTTGCTACCATTTATGCTTCCGCTAACACACGTCTCTTTCTCAATTTCAGAACCAGAGTCCTCTAACGATGTCTCACTACCAGCACAAAGCTCCTCATCAATTCTATTAATTGGATGGATTTCCATTTCCTTTTCTTTATCTGAAATAAATTGAATAGAGGGACAGGTTTCCACTGAAACTTCAGAACATCCTGATTCTGATGTAGTCACACTTCTGTTTTTACCTTTTGCAACATTATAACTAGAAACAGGTTCCTCGTTAATTTTGTTCTTATTTTGGATCGGACACTGCTTTACAGACTCTGGAATCACTTCATCATTCAACTCTCTAGTGTATTCCCCTCTCGTAAATCCACACTGTTGTTTTGCTGAAACATGGGTCTCTTGTTGCATTTCAGCATCCAACATTATGGGATTATGCAAGTCTGCAGAAGCATTTAACTCTTTTTGAACTTCACAAACTTCATTTAGAGTATGTTCACTAATTGGTTTATCATCAATTAGAGGTTCCTTGTCCCTTTCAATCAAGCAATTAATCGCTTCCTCAGTTGTCTTTTTCAAGGGTGTAGGATTGCTGATTCTTTGGGCAACGTAATTACTATTTGGACTTTCAAAACTTCCACCCATAGACGCAAGATTAGGTTGCTTTAACAAAGCAGTAGATAAAGCAGCTTCCTTGTTGCTTTTGCAGGCAGACTGATATTCTTGATTGCCTTCACCATCCAAACATAAGCTATTATACTTGCTATCAATGATAATTGCTTCTGTAATTTGAGTCTTTCCAACCCATTCAATATTTCTATCTGTTGCATTTGTAAGTGAGCTAGAATGTTTCTTCTTGTGACAATCTTCGCTCTCATTGCCACATATTTTTGAGATGCTTGTATTGTGATGCATCTTAGAATGACTGGGTGTTAAATCATTATTTGTGTCTATATCTAATTCCAGCACAGTTTTATTCCCAACCTCTGCCCCACCTTTTTCAATCATTAAAATATGATCAGGATAGTAATTTGAAAGTTGTAATGTAGAAGTATTCAAGCTTGAGCTAGAGGAAACTTCAGCAATCGGGTTTACAGGAGGCATTGGAGACATTGCAGTAGAAGCAGCGATACATGACGATGCACAATCAGTCCTGAAATTCTTAGCTTCAAGCTCATTTTTAGAAGCACAATTATAATGATCCCTGCTTACCAGAGCTGATGCATTTTTCGACTTCTCTTGGAATTCAAGGCCCATGCTTGCTACAGAGAAACAACTTTGCTTTGACTTGAACTTCCTTCTTGAATATTGAATTAGCTTCTTTTCAGCAGTGGAGCCATCTATTCTTCCCTCCAACTGATCATCCTTCTTTCTCTGAATGCTGCCACAGGGTTTAGTCTGAGTTAAACAATTTAACCTTTTTGAGCGAGATCTTCGTGACTGCCAATTTAAAGATAAAAAATCTGAAGCAAGATATTTATCATAGAACAGGGTCCCCAGAGTCCAAGGAACTCGTTTAGATGGAGAATTATTTCTTGCATGGACACAATACCGTAGGTTAATGCCTAGTTTATATGTCCAGTCTTCACATTCATCATGTTCTTCACCATCGATTGCCAGATCTATCAGAGTCAAATTTTCTGGGGATGCAGTATCTAATGGAACCTCATCATAATCAAAAGCACTATGTATCTCTTCTGCAACTGCCTTGGCATGTGCCTTTATTTTCTGATAGTCTACAAAAATGCAGCAAAGTATAAGGAAGAAAAAAAATCCATATTAAATATTTGAAATATATATATATTTGGTTGTTATTTTTCTTGAGTTATAACACACAGCTTGCATTTGTACAACTGATATCAAACTGACGTAAACTGCATTACAACACAATTATATATTGATCAACAGCTGACATGTGCACATGGATTCAATTACTATATTAAGCCCAGCTGAAATTATAAGGTCTATGCAGGGAAAGGAGAGGAGAAACTTGAATTATTAATCTGAAATTGATATTGGTTTGGTGTTATAACATGAGATACAAAAGATAAAACAATAACTCTGATTTATACTTTTTCTTATCAGAAAAGAGAACAGTAATTTGCTTATGCTAAATAGTAGACTCATAATCCTAATTAAATAAGGAAACAGATCAAGAAATATTATGACATATGGAAACCACGCCTAAGATACAATGCCGATATTATCGGATATTTTAACAAATCCTATTTACGTGAAACTTTAGTCTGCCATTTAAAATTAAGACCCACAAGATTTCCTCACTAACTTTAAGTTGAAAGGTGTAGAAAACAAAAAGGCATACATCTCTAGTAATTATATATTTTATGTTACCCAACTTTTACAGAAAGTTACAAGGCAAACAGATTTGTAATCTGCAAACTAACCTGAATGGCAAATTATAAGCACATTCGCTCCACCTTTGCGCTGCAACATCTCCACTATCTGAACAGCATGCTCCAGGCAGAAAATCCGTGGCCTCAAAAATTTGCTGGAGGTGTTCCAGAAATTATTGCACTCGTTTAATGATTGATCTGATAACTCAGCTGATGAAAGTTCAGAAACAGATAGATTCCCTGTAGAAGAGATCACACAATAATTCATTTCAGCACTTCAAAAGTGTCATCTGAAAGGCAAAGTAAAGCACTATCTCAAAAATTCAACATTTTCATCGAATATGTCTTGGCCATCGTGCTTAATATTATAAATATTAAAAAGGAAAGTGAAAATAAGAATGGTACATATTTGATATAATTATCTTCAATTAATTTTCACCTAATCACATGGTACAGGATATGCAGAATTTCCAGTGAACACAATAGAGGATAAATTAATAATTTTGATAAAGTAATTTGGTATTTTGGTTCATTACTATATAGAAGAACCAATTCAATATATCGCTTATAGCCACATCAAAAATCACTAAAGAATCAGTGCAGGTGTGATAGTAATAAAGGTGTCTAGCAGGCTGTAAGAGATCCATAACACAATTGATTTCCTCAATAATATTATATTCTATTTGATCTTGGAATTTATAAGATTTGGATTTAGTGACTAGCAACATAGTAACTCTAGATGCTATAACTTTACAGCCTCGCCCACATCCATAGTGGCTGACAAGTTCAATTTATCACAAAATGCAAAAAAAAAGGCATAAAGGAAAGCCTACATATGAACATGTGATAAAGAATGAAACTAGATAATATGACAAAGTATGAAGGCATTACTTGGGACTGAACTATGAACACAAGCAGTAGTGTTCGGAGAGGAAACTTGAACTAGATGATGGTCATCAGGAAGAACTTCCATTATCAATTTCTCAGTTGGTTGTATCACAGTCATAAATGGAAAACCGAGGATTCCACAACCCACACAAGCCAATGCTCCTGAATCAGTTTGGAAGTGGCAAGGAAGATCATCACCACCAAGATCTAAATCAGTCAAATTCTCCAAATACAAACTCATCTCGTCAACCAGATAATGACTACTATTTTCAGCCGAACTAATGTTTGACATGTCTGTCATAGAGGTTCCAGTTGTAGAAGTTAAATCAGGAAACTGAAAATCTTCGCTGGAATCTGGCAGCAAATCCGCATTCCATAAAACAGCTTTTTTAGTTGCTTCCTTTCCAAGAAGAATAGAGAGCAGCTTGTTTTCCTGCAGCATATCTTCTATAAAAGCCTGTTTTACTAACAACTCTCTCTCTTCTTTCTGACGGTCCTTCAGACGAGAGCTACGCACACCAGGTAACAGTGTTCTTGGAACTCTATAAAATCAAACATATCAGGAGCAATAGAAAATGAGCAACCCACTTGATGCTTAGAAAAGCAACACACATGTTGCAATAATGCCTCTGAATGTTAGAACAAAATTTGTGATAGAAAACCAAGAAATGCAAACTGATCTATATCTATACAATCTACAAGCAAACCGAGAGATTCCACTATAAGATCAAATTGAACCAAATATATATTACATTTTAAATCTAAAATATCCCTTAAAACTGTGTCTTACGTTAATATTTATTTAAGCTGATAAATTCACAAAACATCTCTATTTGGACTACAGTTAAGGTAATATCAAAGTACATGTGAGTAAAATATAATTGAAAGGAAAACAGAGGCAATTATTCATTCAAATGATAATATAATCTCTAGAGAGCAGTACCTATGTATACAACAGAGGTGAAGGTTAGCTTACCTTGAAATAAAAGACATGGTCAGCAAGTGAAGCAGTTGCTGATGGGAAAGCATGGGAAGATAGTTCATTGCAGCTCTACGTACTGCAGCTTCCTTAGCTACCCTAAGCCATTCTGGAGTTCCAAAGTTAGCAGCTTCCCCACAGTTAAAACCTTGATTCACCATATGGTAAACAACATAAGAATTAGTTGGCATTTTAAGAGAAAGAGACACGCTATTATAAGTCAGATAAAAATGAAAATACAGAGCTTTTAAGATCCCATGGGCATATAAGTTTTTTTTTTTTTTTTTTCCCCAATATGAATGCCATGATTAAGACTAAAATAACCATTATTTGGTCCCAATGTTCCTCATAAAAACTTCCAAGCCAAGAAAAGCTGAAAAAGAAGGGACAGAAACAAATCCACCAGATTATAAAGACAAAAGAGAAAACAGACAAGCAAACTATGCAGAGAATAAGCCATCAACCCTCTGAATGCCAACTGAGCACAAAAGCTGCACCCTTTTCAATATTCTCTTCCATCTTTCTCTGCAGACATCTTTCCCCAGTTTTATAAGTTCACCACATCATATTACATTCTTAAAAAAATACTTTATTAATTCCATATATTAGCGCTACATAGTTACTAGTAAGAAGTAGGTAGCATCAATTAGCCAAAAAGAGTGGATATCAAAAAGAAGAGACAGAATATCAAGTCTTATCTCTACTTATATAATATTAGGTGGATTTTTAGAAGATAATATTTTTAATATATGTTATCCCATATCTTGTCACATTATACTCTAGTTTTAAAGATATACCGTATCCTCATATAGTACCAGGGTCATATTTGATAGCTATGCATAAAAGCATACATAAAAGATGTCTGACCTGCTTCCCTTAGCCCTTTGATAAATGTTTTTTATGCTTAATCCTCTAATGTATTTCATGAATAATGATTGAGATTTTGAACTATCCACGGTAGGAATTTGTTATTAATCATATTGTTATTCATGTTTCAAGAAGAATGAATAAGAAAAGAGAGTTTTTGAAAAGATAATGGATAAAAAGGAAAACAATGTTGACTTCCTTTGAAGATTTACAAAATCAGCAAGATACATGGCTAGATTCATGACCATATATATGCATGTATACTTTTTAGTTTGAATAAATTATTATGAGTGCAAAGGGGTTATGAGTGCAAAGGCAGAAATCTACACAAACAAGTACACACCCATAATTCTGCTCAGGTATTTCTTGAATTAAATAAATAAACAAAACCTTTGAAGTAGAGAGTATGCCGATATTCACACCTACATATCTATGCATGAACTTCATTAGTCGTGTTTCCAAGCGTATAGTTTAATGGAAAGCTTAAAAGGCTGAATTATTATGAAACCAAAGATACATAGTCAAGTACATGACCATGTATCTGAGAGTGTAAAATGATACACGTTAGATTTAAATGTATGCGAGATAGTGGACAGTTGGACTGCCAAATATAAAAAGAGGAGGATGCAAAAACCTAAGGGGAACGATTGGGAAGGAAGTAAAACTGATGGCTACAACTGAGGATGACAACAAGACTTTTCTCTCGTTTTCTAATCTTGGACTGTAGTTTTCTTATATTTTATTTCTAATTTACTTTTAGGGTACTTAGATATAATGAATACTATGTAATCTTTTCTTTAAAATTCTCCTTCAAACTATTTCATGTTTTGTTTTCTTAAATTCAATTAAGTAATTTTGCTTGTTGGTTGATAATTCAATTTATCTCCAATCTTATTTTCACGTTTCCGATTTTAAATAGAAATCTAACATTAATTAATCATTGCTCATTTGAAAAAACTTGCTTGCAATACTAGATATAAAATTACAATACTAGATATAAAATTACATAAGTCTTCTGTATTAGGGACAACCTTAATTGTGAAATTCACAAATCAAATTTAGTGCAACCTATGAGTGTTAATTAGGAAGAGATTGTGGTTAATCAATTGAAGGTTAGGAGTTGTTTATCGTGAGAAAGGTATTGACTTATTTTAAAAATTCTTGTAACTTTAAAAGATTAAAAATAAGTAGTTGACGGAGAAATCTAGTATGTTTGGATGCCCAGGAAGACTTACCATCTAGGTGCTCGTTTTCTTACAATGTGGAGTGGATGTTTTTGATTGCTTGCGCTTGCTTTTTGTTTCAATCTTGAGCATATTTGAGTTAGTTTTGCTTTTTCATCAGAGATGATATTCCTGGATAATGAATATAAATAAAAATAAAATGATGATGAATAAAAAGATAAAGTGTTTGTGTATAGTTGTTTTAAGTAGTTATCTGAATTGTGTTTTAATTTGTTTCTTGATTGAAGTATCAAAGGACTTTTCTTATTTGAGGACCTTGAATTTGTGCAAATAAATAAACAAATAAAAATATATGAAAAAAAAAAATTGGAACTCTGCTCAAAGATATAAGAGCATGTTATTGAAGCATAACTATTTGAATGTGGCTTGTAGGCGATGTCCGAGTACCACATCTTAAAACACCGAATTTGTTTGAGGTACCGATATGGAAAGCAAAGAATGGAATTTCCATTAATACCTCGTGCTAATTGGGATGGAGCATAAAATGCATCCTATTAGTCGATCATGGCTCAAAGCCAAAATAAATATAAATAAATTAATATCTTGTGAAAAAGTCTAGGTTTTTAGTCCTTATATAGTTCTGTGTGAAGTTATAGAGATTAAGAGCAAAAGAATGCACAATTTGGGTTTTAAGAACTTTTAGGAAATTGTGATGATAAAGTGAAAAAAATCTTATCCAGGGCTTTGATTCTTTGTTGTCAAAAGTAATTTTAATCCATTTATTTGCTTGGGGACAAGCAATTGTTCAAGTTCACGAGTATTTTAGCACAACATATTAGTTCAAGAGAAGTGAGCAAAGATTTTTTATTTTTTTATTTTTTTCTCTTAAAAAACTCAGTTTACAGTATGTTAGATTACCCACAATTAGTGAAATAATTAGTTAGTTAGGGAGTTAGTTAGCTGAGGGCTGGGATAAGTTGAGAAATAAGGCATGTTACCTAAAAATAAGAAAAGGAGCATCTTGTTATTTGTGAGAAAAAATTACAGCCTTTTGGCATTGGGAGATGCAGACCCTCAAAGTTTGGCAGAGTTGTAGCTGTATTTAGGGAGAGGGAGAATTCCGTTATTCCATCTAATAACATATCAAGTTTCTATCAAATAGTTCAGAGCAAGAATGAAGAAGCACATTCTTGGAGAACTGAGGAAAGATATTGCAAGTTTGAAGAGAGAACTCAAGAAGGCACATCTAGGGAACCCAGTCTTTCATGGAGATGGCATATATGGACGGCTGATTCAACTGCAGCAGGACCTGAAGGGAAGGAGGGAGAGTTTCAATTGGCTGTGGAAGCATTGGAAGGATGTGCCTACCAGTGGTACCAACAATGGGAGTTTAGCAATCCTGAGCCCTCAAGGGTGAGTTTTCAGAGGACATTACTAAAGCATTTACAGCCTAATTATGACCCAGCTCTGCTAGTTTGAGTCCAAGAAAGGGAACAAGAATCAGGGGAATATGAAAACAGAAGAGGAAATGGAGATACTTGGATAGTTGGATGCACGGAAATAAAGAAGATGAGAGTTCTTTGGCACAAGAAGACTGAAGGGATGATGAAATCTTGAAGGATGGGCCAGGAACCAATCTCAAGAAACAAAGAGAAGAAGCTGATGGGCCAATACTGGAGACAAGAACTGAAGTGAAAACAACCTTTGTGGGTGGCTTCAGAAAAGAGTAGTGTTGGAAGGAACAAGTGACTGCTGCATAGGTTGGGAGTTCAACAATCAACTCATCATCACTGATAGGGCCATAACACTTGTGTCATCCATACAGAGATGAGGATTTGATTGCAAGAGTTGCTATCCAGCAACTCCGAGGCAGAAGCATGGCTCACAAGGAGAAGGCAGCAAAAGGCAGGACAGAAATCCCAAACAGTTAGTCAATTGCCAATCTTTTGGGCAACATTGAAAGTTTAGGGAGTTAATTAGTTGGGAGCTGCTATAATTAGAAAAATAAGGCATGTTACCTATAAATAAGAAAAAAGGTTGAGAGGGAGGGACATCTTTTCATTTGAAGGAGAAAATTAGAGCCCTTTGGTATTGCAAAGCGCAAACCCTCAAATTTAAAAAAACACAATGCCGCATTATTCTACCAATCAAACATCACAGAGAATATATATATTGATATTCTAAAATGAAAACAACAAAACATTTGATGAACCACTGGCATTTTCTACCCATAGTTTTCAATATGCAAACAATTTCTTGATTCACCACATGTAAAACATCTCTACAGCACACATTGTAGAAAGGCCAGTACGATCAATCCATCAATCATAGACTAAACACCTACAACACAAGTTTTTGGCAGATATCTGGAATGTACATAAACTTCAGAGTAATTACCATGGCTGAATCCTACATGATAAGCTCTTGGAAAAGTCACAACAAATTCACCAGGGTTCTGTACTAACCTATGAAGAAAAATCAGCATAGACGTAAGTAGAAGTTCAGCAAAGGGAGTAAGAGATTCGGCAGAAACACCAGCAACAACATCTAACTATAACAACATATCTTAAATGATAATAATTTTTAAATTATATAATTTAACATGATGATACATTCATGACTTCAAAGCATATCAAATATGTCAAGCAACTAACCTGCAACAAGGAATCCCAGATGCAACAATTACCTCGGGTGATAAAAGAGTCGTTTTCTCACCCAAAAGTTTCAAAGCAGCTGGCAACAAAAGAAACTGTACTTGAGTTACAAATGCACTGTAGACCTTATGAATAAAATGGATCTACAAAAAGGAAAAATAAATGAGATGAACAGGCTTTATTCAAACAAAAAAATTCTCTCATTTTGAGGTGATTTTATTGAAAACCTTTAGGTTTTTGAATTTTGGATTTCCGGGAATTTAATATGCAGTATCAATTTAGAAATCTTGTTTTGCCCTAAAACAAACCTGTCTGTGTTTGAGAGATAACAAAATAGACTCTTGACGCAAGTGTTGAAACTTCAACACTTCTACATAGTAAAGTTAGACTTTTAGGCAAAAAAATGAAATTATATTTTACAGTTCTTAGCTACTTTCTGAACATATTTAACCGTAAAAAGTACATATTACATAATTTTTAGCCACATTCTACTATTTTGGATTTTCTATATTGCTGTGACATTGTCAAGTTGTATCTTGTACACTGCAATTTCACATGCCTTGAAAACTACTTATGTATGGAAATGTAACAGTCAAGTTGCTCCAGAACAAAAATCAGAACATGAAATGATGTTAAATAATTGAAGTATTAAGGCCTTCTCCTCCAGCATGAGTTTTAAAAATTGGAAGAACAAATATAAAACAAAGAAAAACTTATTAAACAAAAACATTTGCAGAGTTGCATGTTTTCATATCATTTCCAATATGTCAAGTCCCAAAAACAACTAAGAGAAATTACCACATTTTCAGAGGAATATAATACCAAAAAAACATTAGCTATATCAAGAGAAACGAACAAGAAGAGACAAACTACCTAATTTACCTACTTACTTTATCATCTCGTGTAACTTAAAATATTCATAGTGACGGATATTAAAAAGGCAGGTATATATGCAAGCAGGAGAGCCATTTGCTAGCAAATATAAGAAAAACTGACACTCTAGAATCATCATGAACTTTTCTTGATATGCCAAATATAAAGATCAATCAATTTTTTCCTCCCATATGCATGAAAGAATTTAAAGCATTTTAATATAAAAAGTGGTGAAAATATTCAATGTCTTTTCAACCATTGATGCCAAATCTTCTGTAAACAGATAATAGTCAAAGCACTCACATACCTAAGTGATCAACATTACCACCATAACCCTTGGAGCGGATGACTTCCTCAAAAGCAAAGGCATAATCTCCAGGAACAGCATACCAAGTCTTTGATGAGCCAGTGTGAAGAAAATTCATGCTGTGAAGCTCATGATCCTCTACATGCCAAGCAAACCAACTGAACAGCATACCAATGTATACCATGGGTGAAGTAACACCAGGAATATCATCCGGCATAAAACGAGTAAGTGAGCCAGATGAGCGTGCAATAACTTGCAAGTTCCAAGGACTGTTTGAAAGCTTCCAACCAGCAGTGCCTTGCATATCATTGCTGGCTTCTGAACTCTTTTCCTTAGGAGATTGTGAACCTTCATTTGAAGAAAATGTTGACGCAGTCGTAGCTGATTTGGTCATCTGTAAGCATGCGTCTGCATGACTTTGGACTGAAGCACCCTTAGTCACATCAGTTTGGGTATCTCCAAGGCTACCTATTTCAGTTTGTTTACGATCAGAGCTGTCTATCCTACTCTTATAATAAATCCTTTTCCTTCGCCTTCTACGACTACAATGAAAATGACCTTTGGTTTCTCCAAAGGCAGACCCAGGCACGTCGTTGGCGTACTCCACGTATATTGGCTTCTCCAAAGCTGCCTTCCAAAACATAGACTCTATAACCAGTGGAGAAACGTCCTTCACCGAACCAAGTATACTTCTTGCAAAAGACTTAGATTTAGACTCAAACTGTTCTAAAGTATAAACCTCCCCACTCTGCCACACTTGCCTATGAACACTTGATAGTGGATTCTGAACTGTCCCTTTGGGTTTTTTCATACTCGGACTCTGCCCTAGTTCTTGATGCCTTGTAGTAAACACAGCTCGCAACACCCTATCATCACCACCATCCCCAAAACCCGTTTTCAAAGAATTACTAACAACTAAGGAACTGTTATCTGGACCTAAATCAGGGCACTTCAAGAGGGACCTATTCAAATTAGAAAATACATATTTTTTTGAAGGTTTGGGCAACGGTGGGATAATCTTACAAATCCCAAAGTTGGAAGCTTCCTTCTCAATCTTTGAAATATAAGCAATTGGGTCGGCAAATTCAGTGTCTGTAGGGCGAAATTCTGGTGCCAGAGGCAACCCTTTAAGCCAATTGGGGATTTCAACACTACCCATTACATGAAAAATGAAAAACAAAAAATGAAAAGGAAAACTGAAGATTAGAAACAACAATGCAAGTTGGGGAAGGAGGCTAATTCAACTAAATCACGTGCAGCACCAGTGTCTCAAAAACCCTAAATTGATTAAGGCATATGGTGAAATTTTGCATAATTTCGAAGCAATTGGGAAAAGCTTAACGTCATGGGTTAAGCATAATAGCGAAATGCAAAGTGAAAATTGAGGAGAAAACAGAGTTGCATAACCTGTAACTGCAGGGCACTGTGCATGATTTGGCCTCCAAAGTTCAAACCCACCGTGTAATTTTTGGAGAGAGAAAGAGAACGGTGGATTTTGTCTATGTTGTGAGTGAATTTTGCCATCCGCTTATTTTAACTTATCCTAGCTCATTGAGCTAATTTGCGCCGCAGAAACTCAGCAATAACCAAATCCTCGTTTGATTGTGGACACTGGAATTTGGTAAGTTCAGAACAACAAATTTAAACATTCAAAAGAACAACTTTGTATTTAAGAAGTATTTATTACATTAAATATATACAAATATAATAAATATTCTTTAATAAAATTTATTACTAATTACTTAAACTTTATTATAAGTTAAACAAAATTATTTTTTAAGATGTGTTTATTATAAATTAATTAATAATATTTTTTATTACAAATTATGATATTTAATATTTTTAACACATTAAATTTTATTATTTTAATAAAATTTTAGTATATAATTTTTATTATATTTCATTAAATTTACATTAATTTTTTTTATTCATGTATTTGTTTATTTATAAAATGAGAAGATATACTGTGTATGGTTATGCTTCCACAAATGGAGAAAATAATTGAAATTCAGTAGATACTTTAATATTTTTTTATTTAGTACTCATATATATTTTTTAATATGTTAAATGAAAAAATTAAAAGGAACACTTTGCTTGTATAATATTATTAATAAATTGATGCTAGATTACAATATTTACATATTTTATGTTTTTCATCTCAAAATGTTGCGATGTAATTTTGAATTAATAAAATTTATTTTTTATAAAAGTATTGAATATATTATTTTATTATATTTAACATTTTTATCTTGTCTCAAATAAAGAATAAATATCTAAATTAATTAGTCCTTAGGATTGTACATGACATTATTTATTAGTTTATAACTTTGTAAAATATTATTATTACAGGATTTTTGAGAAAAACAATATAAAACAAATAAAATTAAAATAAATTACTTTTGAAAAATAAAACTAACAAAATATTTTTTGAAATATTTAACTCTTAATCTTAAAAATTAATTAAGAGGTTTACTCCTAACATGTATATACACATACAATTATATATTAATACTTACATGGGTTTGATGACCAATCTTATTTTAAAAACATTATTTATAAGAAATTTTACTATCATTTTAAGGATAATATTGCTAAAAAATTAATTAAAAATTTTACATTAAAGATAGTATATTGATAATATTAAATGTTTTTTTTAATAAGATTTATTTTTATAACAATAGTTAAAATAATTATATTTTATTTTAAAAATTAGAAAAAATATAAAAAATTAAAATTTATTTATTACATTAAAAATATGACAAATATAATTTTACGAGCTTAGTTGAAATTCACAGATAATTTAAGAGTTTTTTTCACAATGTTATTTAATATAAATTTTCATATATTAGCAAGAATTATTAGTTTTTGTAATAAATATCATTAAAACCATATTCATGATCCGTATACTTTAATTAGTTAGATAATGTAAAATTTGTATATTAATAGTATGTTAAAAATTAAACTGCATTTTAAAATAATTTTTTACCTTGTTGTATTAATCAGTTCTTGACATTAACGTTAGTAAAAACCATTAAAAATTAATAAAGCAACCATAGTTTCCTAATAGTATATAGGGATTGCTCAAAGTTCCCATTTTGTCCCCAGTGGTTTAGTTTGTTCAAGGTCTTCTTGCCAACGTTCCTTGTTTATTGAACATAAAACACAGAATTATTTTGGTTTTGTATTTTCTCGGAATTTTATTTTCAGAAATGAATTGAAACTCTTTTTTGGTTGAATGGTTTTCTATTTAGTTTAGGAAAATGATCCACATTCCACATCTTTTTTATATATATGATATTTAAAGTCTAATAATATATTCAATAAAAATGGCTATAATCAATTTAGCACAGTGGATGGAAAGAGCAAACAACCACTGGTTAGGGTTTATGGGCAAATATATTGCATGGACTATTTCTGCATGCAGGTAGATTCAGGCGATCCCCTATGTTCAATTATTGTTCTGATGTAAAAGAATAGAATAAATATATAATTGGATTTTTAAAGGTAACATTGTTTTCTATCTTTGAAAGTTTTATTCTTTTAAATATAAAACATATTTTTATATGTCATATAAAATAACATATTAAAAAAAATACCGTTTTGTGTATTTACCTCAAAGGAATGTTGAATTATTATTATAACAGGATCCAGTTCAAGTGTTGCCTTGTGTCCTCATGAACATGGATAATCCCTTATTTTTTAATGTGAATCACGATTTCTAAAAATCTTTCCGTTTTTAATGCATCAGGGCTATTTCTGAAATATATTTTCAAATATGTTTATTTATTTTTAATTTAATGATTTTTATAAATATTTCTAATTACGATCATTTTATCTTTTTGTGAAAAAAAAATGTCAATTATATAATAGAAAAAGTTAGCTAGACTATTCTTCGCAGAGAAGAAGGATTTAAAATTCTAAATATTAAATCAACCTTCTTAAATATGAACATGCTTTATATTAACCTTAAAACACTAATTAAGGATCACAAAATATACACTATTTAATTACTTAAATGATTAATAGTGATTTTAAAGTTTTTAATATAATATTTTATAATATACATATCTTTTATTTGTATTGCTTTTAATACGAGAATTAATGTAAATTCAAAATTTTTTTGTCATGTGAATTTTGATTTTCTCATTTTATAATATATGAGAATTGAATAAAAAAATTACAGGATAAGCTAACAAGTTAGATACATAATTTTATTTTATTCTATCTATTTTTAACTTAAACCTTTTATGTAATAAATTTTATATTGACGAGTAAGATAGGATGGACTCTTAAGATAAATTTAGTATATCACAATGATTAAACAAATGCTAAAAATAAAATAACATAACAAAAAAATAATCTTGTTATATTATTATATTTTATTCATCAAATAAGTCTTAAACGAAGAGAGAGAAAAAAATAAGAAAAAAAAATAAAATATAGTAAATATTATGATGTGATATGATAAAAAAAAAAAAGAGCAAATATATAAATATAGTTGTTGTTATACAATTACAAAGGTTGCAACTGGGTCACACCTTAATGGTAATTTGGGCAGAACGACCAAATGAAGGAGTCATAATTTAAGAGAATTAAATTAAATAAATTTTTTTTTAAATACAGTGCGAATTTATCAGTGCTAAGATTCATGTATAGGTGTTAATCGAGATTTTGTTTTTATATTATAAACTTATTTTTTATTATTAATTGAAAGCAGTTTTTAATATACAAGTTATCACTTTCTTCTTAAAAGTTTTATATTCTTTTGAGCATTATTTTTTTTATTTACAATTTTTATTTATAAAACAATATTGCTTAAATTAAATTTAAATTATAAACCTTGATATAATATATTTAAATGAAGATATATATTTTAAAATAAATTAAAATTTAAGATTACTATAATTTTAATTAATCTTAAATTTAATTAAATCTTTAAGTTTTGACACATATTGGTCATATGTTTTAATTAAAATAATTATATTACTATTAAGTGCATAAATCAACCATAAATGAAGGACTGAACCATTAAGTTTAAGGCTTAAATAATTTTAAATATTTTTAACCTGATTTAATTAAACTTAAAAAAATGGCTTCATTGTGGGCTGACCTGCATGAGTTGTTATTCTTTTTATCAGTATTGCTTGTATTTTTATTATAAATTGTAGTGCAAAAAATCAGTTCACTTAAGTGATTACCAATGTAGGGTCAAGCTGAGCTTTTACTTTATAAGCTTAAATAAATTTAAATTCTTTAGTTTAATTAGAATAATTCTGTTATTCTCATTGAATTGAGTTAAATTAAATAGTTTAAATTGGTAACTCTATTTTTAATTTGTAATATTTTATATAATGAAGTACTCATTATTAATAATAGAAATATTTATTATTTTTTAAAAATTTTGTATAAATATTATTTAAATTAAAAAATTTCATGTAAAACATGACATTTTTATAATAATTAATTTAAAAAATATATTTAACTTGTATTTTGAATGATTGACAGTGTAAAAATTCTTATACAAAAAATGCATTAATTTTTTTTTTAAAAATTAAAATTTACAAAGATTAAAATCAACTAAAAGATTTTAAAAGTAATCAAATTAAATCCAATGTATAAAGATAAAAAGTATATTTTACCCTTAAAAATTACTCAAAACTCTAAAATCATGATATTATCAAGTAATTTTTTTAAAAATGATTTAGTTTTATAATTAAAAAATTAAATATGCAATTAGTCTATAGTAAAATTATTGTAGACAACAAAGTTTTCACTATGAATCGCTAATACAGCTGTACTCACAAGAACTCAAGTTGGAGACCACAAGTTAAGTTGTAATAATCTCCTACCGGTTAATTTACTTGACAGTGATATTTTTGTTTGTTTTAAAAAACAGTTAAAAAGTTAAAATAAGTTAAACTATTTTAAATTTTTTTTTCAATTGAACATTATTTATTTGTTAAAATTTAAAACTTCTATTTAAAAAGTAAAAACTTGCAAACATCGCAAACAAATCTTAAATGTTTGATTTTAGATACATGTGAGAAACGATGGCATGACATATGAATAATATTTAATACTTTAATTATTAATAATATCATTCCCTTAGATTATTATCAAAGAAATCTCAAATAATTAACGGGAGTAGATTTAGTGAAAGGGTTAAGATCTCTTATGGACTGGTTTGGTGAAACGTGATTTATATTTCTCCTTAGAGAAACATTGAGAATTAACAACAGATTATATCTCAAACAAGATTATTTTAATAGAATTCACCTATAAACAAAAAGCAAATCTCAAACGAAATTCAGTACTTAATAGAACACAAGGCTAAAAGGGGCACAAATATCCATTCATTAAGGTTGATTTTATTTATTCAAAACAAGATTGTAGAAAAATCTTCTCTACATATATTTTTGTCGAGGGTGGAGTTCAAT